ATTTTACCAACTTCCTTTTTTAGGGAAAATGATAATTTTATAATATTCTTTGCCAATTTAGTTTTAATTTTTGTGAATCTTGAGAAAGGGATATTTTCCTTTTTTTGCAAACTGGTAAAAATTGCCAGGTAATCTTTGCTATTTAATACCACATGTGCCATAGGGATGCACATTTTACAAAGTAACATGGACCTTAAAAATTATATTAAAGAATTCGAGGTATTGATATTTTATGACTGAATGTGAGAGCGTTAACATGTACAGAATAGTAGTATTGATAAAATGTGGCACTGCTCAGTATTATTTTGTTAAACCTATAAATTTTCTGTGGTATAATCACTGTGAATTTTTCAGAGTAATGAATGGAAGAATATTATCTTTTGTTTTTTCCTGAGGTTAAGGAAAAGCCATATGTTGCATGGAACTATAGTCAATAAGTTAATGTTTTGAACCAAGTCTTTATTTCATAATTATTTCTAAAAGTTATTTTCTCTCCACATGAGGACAGAATTTAGCATGTATTTCCTCAGGTTGATGAAGTAATATGCTCTTTAGGAATACTTGTTAATAAAATGGTACTATAATGTCAGATCGTAAATTGGAGGTTGCTCTTATCTGTTACTGCCACCACCAGCACTACCAACGCTACTAACCATTGTTTAAGTGCTTTATAGCCTCTTTTAATCCTCTCAGTAACTCCCAAGAGGTAGGTAACATTAACCGTTATTAGCACCATTTTACAGATAAGATACTGAGACACAGATAGATTTAGTACTTTGCCCAAGGTCAGTCCTATGGCTAGTTGTGATCCAACCAGGGTTTACAGTTGCATTACTGAGCTGGTACTCATAACCAGTGTACTGTAACTGCTTCTCCAGGGAAAAATCATTAAACTTAATACAACCAAATTCCAACAATTACACAAGTACTAATAATTAGGATATGGTCGGGCGTGGTGGCTCACGCCTGTAATCCCAGCACTTTGGAAGGCTGAGGTGGGCAGATTGCTTGAGCCCAGGAGTTCGAGACCAGCCGGGCAACATAGGGAGACCTCGTCTCTACAAAAAAAATAAAATAAAATAAAAAAAAATAAAAAGCCGGGTGTGCTGGCACATCCCTGTAGTCCCTGCCACTTAGGAGGCTGAGGCAGGCGGATCTGCTTGATCCTGAGCCATGATTGCGCCATTGCGCGTCAGCCTGGGCAACAGAGTGAGACCTTGTCTGAAAATAATAGTAATAATAATAATTAGGATATTCATGCAACAGAACAACAAACATTTTGACTGGGGAAAATGGAATTCCAACTGTTGAATCCCCTTCCTGTGATTCCATTTTATTTCCGTTGAAGTAACATTATGAACTTCTATGCTTGTTTTTGGTGCATGGTTGCATATGCATCACGTACTGATAAAACATCTCGTGAGCTGAGTTAACAGTCCGTCTTACTGCCGTTCCACTCTGGGATGTAGACGATGCTCTGTGACTCCTGCTGTCCTTCATGTTGCGTATTTCCATACTGGCTGATAGAGGCTTCATGGCGTGAAAATAACACTGGAGTCAGAGTTGGTTGATGCATAGTTTGGAGCACCTTTAAGAGTGCCTTTGTTGTGCCTGTGTGTTTAATAGCTGTGCGAGAGCCAGCGGGCCACTGTGGAGTTTGGGGACTGGCACTTGCTGTCCATTCATATCCAGCACCATTTCTTCTCATGAGAAAACATGGCCTTGTTGGTAGCAGTCCCTGCATTTCCTTTGGACTGTGGCGTTTTCTGTCTCTGGTACTTCTGTGTTAATCCTGTGGGTGTTGCCATTCCTTTTACCTGCAGCCTCTCGACGTCATTCCAGGTCCACTAGTGCTCTCTCCACTGCTGAATCTGTTGGGCAGTCAGGTGAACAAGTGCTAACTGCATGACTTGGCTTCTTCATATGTTCTAGTTTCACACCCATGTTAACATTTGTTTTCATCTGTGTCGGCTAGCACTTGGCATGTATGCACCTCATATTTTTTTCCCCAATGTGCTTTAATTTTTTTAAGTTATTGAATGTTTATAGTTCTGTTAATAGGCTGTAGATGCTTTATAGCCTGTTTGACAACATCGTTTCTCCAGTATTCATATTTACGTTAAAACAAAACAAAAAACGGGGAAGTAATTCCCTTCCTGCCACTCTGTCCCCAGGAAAATAACCAAAATTAGGTATTATTTAGGGTTCCTGTGGGGCAAGGGGGCATGGATATCACCCAACAGATTCCCTTCCAAAGTCTTTACTCCGAATAAACTGCCAAATATTAATGCTAGTTATTAATGTCAAGTTCACATTTTTAAAGGTACCATTTAGTTAACAGTGTTGCAAATTATAGCATACATAATTTCATATGTATGAAAATAAGTGTATTGTTCTCAAAGTTTTATGGAAAACAAGATCAGGATTCAGGTAATCAAGTCAGGCCAGAGGTATCCTTTGCAGCCTGCAAACCCCAAACCTGCTCTCTCAGTTCTGTTTAGCAATACTCAGCATCCACTGGTTAGCCACAGTGGCAAAAAGTAAGCATACAGTAATACATCAGTTTGTTAGATTTCATGCTAACAGTCCCTAATGACTACAGTTTTCTCAATTGAGTAAGGCAGAATCTATGAATTTGCGGACCGTTGATGGTGACAATTGTTACCAATTCACTGAGTCCGGTATTTTCTCTTTTTTTCCTCTAAATGAAGCCCCCTATACTTTGTTTGTTTGTTTTTGGTTTTGGTTTTTGGGTTTTGAAACAGGGTCTCACTTGTTGCCCAGTCTGGGAGTGTAGTAGCGTGATCTCGGGTCACTGCAACCTCTGCTACCTGGGCCCAAGCGGTCCTCCCACCTCACTCCCCAAGTAGCTGGGACTACAGGTGCGTGCCACCACACCCAGCTAGTTTCTGCTGTTTTTGTAGAGACGGAATTTCACCGTGTTGCCCAGGCTGGTCTCAAAACTCCTGGGCTCAAGCGATTTACCCACCTTGGCCTCCCAAAGTGCTGGGATTACAGGCAAAGCCACCATGCCCTGCCTCCTGTATATTCTGATTATGTATATTTCCCTGAAGATTAGGGGCCAGACTGAGAGCACAGTCATATGTGTTCATCTCTTGGAAAAATTGAACTTTTAATAGTATCAGAGCCTTGAGAATATGGAACAGATTTTGCTCTGGTGAAAACACAAAGCTTATAGTTTTGCTTAGATCTGGATAAACATTTCCCCTTAAGATTTGAAATTCAAATTGTCTATGATATATATCAAATGATCTGTAGTCACTGTGTATGGCAAATCTGTATGCATCTTGGAAGCACAGAATAATTGCATTGTTCTTATAGTTTTAATTTTGTGTCTGAAAAAACCTGTATTCTCCCTGGAGCAAGAATTGCTGGCATGAGATTTTTTTTTTTTTTTAATTTTGTTAGACTTCGTTTTATTTAAGTTTATGCTGGGTAATTTTTTAATGGCTTATAATTGAATTACTTTCATTCTGTTACTCATAAATCTACTATCTACCCTTTTTTAATGAAAAAAAATTTGAACAAGGATCGTCTATAAAACTATATGTGCACAGTAAATCTCACATTTACACTTGTTTCATATTTCAACTGATAAATATAGATATATGTAACTTTTAATGGCCTGTTTTAGTTTATATGGCACATTACCTTTTAAACATAATGACTAAGATGACAGTTGGAATGACCAGCAAATGCATTAAAAAAGGGGATAGTATAACATACAGTTTTTGTTTCTTTTTAAAAATTCATGACTGTATAACTATTGATAAGCAGTGTTTAAATTTTTCTCCCTTTCTATGGTGGTGGAAGGTATAATGTTTTGAAATTGACATTTTTAAAAAGCTAAATAACAATTCGCTTTTTAAGTTCACCAGTTTTGTAGGCACTGTCTTGTTACATATCTAAAATTTTAAATACGTTGTTTTATAGGAAAGATCAATTCATGTAAAATTAGCTTCCCTTTTATTCTAGATGCTTCTAGAATGTGGCTAACATAGAGATTTTCCTTGTCCAATGTCTTATTTGTTAACACAGAGAAAATAGAACATATTTTATCGTAACATTTTTCTTCCAAAGGTTTTTATATGTTAGACTTTTAAATAAGAAATTTTTTACTGGTAGATAATGTATAACACACTTAATGAAAATACGACTTACACTGCCTTTCTCCTAGTATAATTTTAATCTCCAGCACTTCCTAAGGAAGGTTGGTCAGCTAATTTAATGGGACTTTAAAAAGTCACTTTTCATTTCCATGTTCACAAATAAACTTAAAATTATTGTTTGAACTACTAAATTTGTTTTAAATTCTTTGGATTCTTTCTGTTATTTTGTTTATCTGTATAAAGATTACCATTAGGAACCCAAGTAAAACTTATATTATCTAAATTTTTAATGTTCATCAGTGAAAGTGCAAGATTTTTGGTGATTATTAATTTTAATAAATTGATTTTTAAGTAATTTTTGTTGACACAGGTATCATGATGAACAAATATCTAAAATGAGTTTAGCAATAAACAGTAGTGACACTAATAAAAATTTGCACAGAAATCAATTTGTTTCAAATTTTAATTTTTTACCACACATTGCATTAGAACTCTTATGAAACCATGAAGCTTTCTAATTAGTTTGACCAAACATCAAGGCCACTTGCCTCTATAGGGAAAGCTAAATAGATTAAAAGATTCAACTCATAGCCCAGCTCCCATAAGTTCCCCCTTCCCTCTCATATCTCAGGAACTTTTCAATAATAAAATATCATGTTTGAACAATTTTGAGTGACAGTGCTTTGTGGCACAATAGCATTAAATGTGAACAGCTTAACCTCTACCACTGGTAAAGTCAAGTGTAGTTAAAATTGGCTAGAGATTTTTCAGTGCTTCTGTCTACTTGGTGGGAAGAGGCAGTAGTCCTTGCAAGGAATTGAGATAATTTCAATTAAAGTGACACATCTTTTGCTTTTGTTTTTTAAATAGATCGATTTGGGCTTGGCCAGCCAGGAAGAATACCTGGTTCTGTGAATGCCATGAGAGTTCTGAGCACAAGTACAGATCTTGAAGCTGCTGTTGCTGATGCTTTGGTAAGAGGCACAGTATGTATGTAAACAGAGTCAGTTTGAAATACTCATCTGCATTTCTCTCTGTCTTAATAGGAAATTGCCCCCAAATCAGGTTATTAAATCATCTTTGACACTCTTTAAAATTGTGTAACTGTTGGGTAAATTTATATTGTTATTGTTTGCTCCTTAAACTTTTATCTCTGCATGCATATAAGTGAAAATGGACTTTACAGAAAATATTAGCGTCAAGTATTTCTTATCGGTGCTCTTCAGTATCAAGGAGCTTTTGATGACACTGGACTTCTCAGATGTCAGTGGGCTTCTTTTTTTCTTTTTAACCATGTTTTTTTTTTTTTTTTTTTTTCCCCTGGCACTTCCTTTTTTCCATTCTGTTGCTTCTATTGCTTTACAGACTTTGATGGCATAACCTAGACATTTTATTATTATAATAGGTAATAGAGTTTGAGGTTTGAAAATCTTGCGTTTATTCTATTATCTTGTCCGTTTGATTTTATGTTGTTTTTCCTAAATCTTTGAGGATGTGAAGCAATGGTGGAGTATGTTTTTGCATCATTATAGTGTAATCTCTGAAAACCATAAATGATCATGGATCCTTTAATTTTTTTGGTTATACCAAAAAGTTCCTTGGTAGAATCAGCTTGTGGTCAAATTGCTTTTTAAAGATGCGTTTCAGCTAGTCACACAGTCTCTTGCATATTCCGGTTTATGTGCTCAGCATTTGAAATGGATGTTCTTTAGAACTGTCTGATCACTGGCCTTGCTCTTGCTGTTTTGAGATTTATTCTCTTGTAAAGGAAAAAAGTATGTAATATCCTGCTTTCAGATTCTTAAGTTTTTAATCCAGCCATGTTTTGTCAGATCAACATTTTACAGTTTATGGCTATGGTGATTCCAGTTTTCGTTCCTTCTTGTCTCGCCCTCATTTATTCCTGCTCAGTCAGGTTCTTTGACAAGTATCTGTGAGCAAGCAGTTTGCTGCTCTCATAATGCTTTTCCTGTAGGCAAGCTGCCTGGCCATGTGTATTCCTCAACCTTACGCATAGAAAGACTTTTTTCTGGCAGGTGCTGGAGTTCAGGGTAATTGCTCTAACTATGGCTTTAAGAGTCAAGAGCTGGAACAGAATTCTCTGAAACTGTTTGTCCTTCCAAGTTGCAGCATTTAGAATCTGTATCTTATTCGTTCAGAGACCCTGGGAAGTGGAGGTCAAAGGGGTGGGAAATGATGGATGTGAAGCCCTTAGTTGAGATTTCCACTTAAGTCAGGGGAATTTCTTAGTTCTTTAAAGAACTGCATAAGGGACTGTGTGTAAAGTTCTAGGAGGCAGAATAGGACTTGAGAGTTTGAGCTTTGGCTTGGCTTGACTTGAGCTTTTCTCTGAGCTCTGGCTCCCATTAGATTCATACTGCCCTTGTTACTTTTTGTCCAAACTGTTTAGTCTCTCCAAGTGACCTGCTTCTGAAGAGAAAACACAGAAATGGTACAGAATCTTTGCCTCACTGAATAGACACCACGGTGCCAGACAGAATGTCTCAGAGGAATAGATAGAATTAATGGTGACCTTAGAGATTTGCCTCACTGGTATGGGAAAAGTTTTAGCAAAGAATTACAGCAAGTTACCAGAAGGTCTTCTGAGACATGGAGGAGGGTTAGGAAATGCCATTTTGAAAGCATTCTTTATTATTATTCGCTTGATATGAAACGCTTGCTAACCTGTGTTTTTGGTTTGCTAAGATATGTTTTGCTGTACACTTTTGTTGCAAGAACAGTCCCTACATATGCTTCTGACGTAATTCTCTATGCTTTTTCCCCATCCTTCAATATTTTCCTGCCTACAGCTGTTAGGAGACTCCAGGAGCAAGGTACCAGTGCTTTAACTTTTGTTTTACAACTTTATTTCTTCTGTTGCAAGTATATTTCTTTCAGAAGCTAGTGAAAACCAAAAAATATAGTATAGAAATTCTGATCTGAAAAATGATTTTGCTGAATCATAACAGTGATTCACCATCATTGTTGTCTTTATTCATGGTGGAGTCAGTCACCTTTCATGTACATCTGTTTTAGTATTTATTTCGAATGTCAAGCTCTGCTCCTTCGCCTAGTAGTGTTCCATTTTATTAACTCAATTTGTGCCTATTCTTACGTCGTCATGATTTCATGAATGGATTTATCAATATTTTTCTTATTTTAGGAATCTGGTTTTTGTGTGACCATATAATTTATTATCCAAACAAAAATGCTTTTGAGATTAAAAGGGAGATGCTATTAATAATTATGACAATAGGCTTAAAGCAGAACAGTCCTGAGCAAGTTGGATTAATAATAATATGCCATATTATTAGAGAAGTGTATTTGTATGGTTTAAGCCAATAGCTATTTGTTTTGCTACTATCAATTTTATATAGTTGCTGCTATATCATATTTATGGGTATAGCGGTTTTGTGTTCAGGGTCAGAGAAATGAATAAAGTAGGTATTATAGTCTACTTTCAGAGAAGCCTATTTGTGTTTCAAAACCCTAAGTCTTTAATAAAAGTGGCCAGGAGTTAGAAACCAGCCTGGGCAACAGGGGGAGATGACTTAGGAATCCTTTTACATGGGCTGCTTCTGCCACTGACATTTCAAATTCTGACTTTTTCAGGAAACATAAATATTCACACAAGTTTATCCATAGACCGTGCTCAAGATATATTGCTTTTGACTGCGGAGGGGCTGTTGGCTGCACGTATTTGCATTGTGCCAGGTGCCCAGCTGAAATATTTAACATATAATTTCATTTAATCCTCACAACAAGCCTGTATGATAGGTATAATTATTGTTGTCTTAAAGACGGGGAAACCGAAGCAAAAGGCCTAGGAGGCTTTCAGAAGTCATGCAGCCCAGTCAGTGTTGGCACCAGGATTGTGATCTGTCTGTCTTCCTGTAAAGTCCACACACTGTACTAGAGGCCACACTCTTTCCTCTCTACTACAGAGTGCTTTGCTTATTAGTTATTTTACCTAATGGAAAACTGCTTTTCTGTTTGTATTTCCATAATCTGTAAGCACAGGAAAAGTGTGTGTGTGCATATGTCTTTCTACACTTAACTCTTTGTTGTAGATTTTGTTTGCTATGACTCACGGTCATTTCACCTTTCTATTTCTTCCTCAATCACTCCCATCCCTCATTGGACCTGTCAGAAGAAGCCTGTGAGGAGGAGATATGAGCCGTATGGAATGTATTCTGACGATGATGCCAACAGTGATGCCTCAAGTGTTTGCTCTGAGCGCTCATATGGCTCCAGGAATGGTGGCATTCCCCATTACCTGCGGCAGACTGAAGATGTAGCAGAAGTTCTCAACCACTGTGCTAGTTCAAACTGGTCAGAAAGGAAAGAAGGGCTTCTGGGCCTGCAGAACTTACTGAAGAGCCAAAGAACACTGAGGTGAGGACCACAGCAAGAATATGAGCTAAGTTTGAATCCCCTGTTGGACTCTTCAGGGGCTTAAAGGGTTTTCCTATAATTACTGGAGTTTTCAAGAGGTCCGCTTGCAGGAACAGGCACTAAAGGTACCAAGATGACTAAGAGACAGTCCCTGCCATCCAGAGGCTTTGAAATATCTGGCAAATACCCTTTTTTTCTTTCACTTTTTTTTTTTTTTTTTTGAGGTGGAATCTCGCTCTGTTGCCTAGGCTGGAGTACAGTGGCACGATCTTGGCTCACTGCAACCTCCGCCTCCCGAGTTCAAGTGATTCTTCTCCCTCAGCCTCCTGGGTAGCTGTGCCACCACACCTGGCTAATTTTTGTATTTGTAGTAGAGACAGGGTTTCACCATATTGGCCAGGCTGGTCTCGAACTCCTGACCTCGTAATCTGCCTACCTTTACCTCCCAAAGTGCTGGGAATACTGGCGTGAGCCACCGCGCCCAGCCCATCTGGCAAATATTCTGTAACTTATTAGGCTGATAAAAGATTTAGGGTGGACACAGTGGCTCATACCTGTAATCCCAGCACTTTGAGAGGCCAGGGCGGGAGGAGCACTTGAGTCCAGGAGTTTGAGACCAGCCTGGGCAACAAAGGGAGACCCCATCTCTACAAAAAAGTTAAAATGTTAGCCAGATGTGGTGACATGCATCTGTAATCCCAGATACTTCGGAGGCTGAGGCAGGAGGATCACATGATCCCAGAGTTGGAGATTGCAGTGCATTATGATTACACCAGTGCGTTCCAGCCTGGGTGGCAGAGCAAAACCCCGTCTCAAAAACAAACAAACAAACAAACAAACAAACAAAAGACCCCATGTTTGGTTCCCTTCTGTTTCATATTTGTCCAGTAGATGTTATTTGAGAAATACCTGTGTACAGTATGCAATTCAGGTTTAAAATAAATAAATAAAACAACCCTGCAGGTTAGTGTGGTTCATTATACTTTAGAGTCCTAGATAGGATGTTATCAGTCTTAGTCTGGAAAATTTTGATGCACATGTGCATATATGTAGCTTATAAATGTACATAGTGAGGAGATAACAAAATGGAGCACTCTAGTAACAGCATTGTCTTTTAAATGGATTGTTTTTGCTTTTTTCTTTGTTTCTGTTTCACGAATTTTCTAAAGTAAGCGTGTATTATACATACCAAAAAAGTATGTGGTTATACCGTATTTTGTCAAATCTAAGGCACCGTACACACACCCTTATTTTTAGCCCTTTAATAAATGTCACGCGTATTAAACCGTGACAGCACAAAAATGTCATTGATTATAAGATGACTCAATTACAGAGATGTGAAAATTAGAGAAAGGAGATGTGAATGGGAACTAAGAAGTGGGTGACTTAGAATACATGAAATGCAGTCTACTTTATCCTTTGGATAGTTTTTGTAAGATAAGTTAATGGTCATAGATGGGCATCCCTCTTGGGTTCTGTAAGGCTAAGTGAGCACTGGCTGATAAGTTGCCCAGCTCTCACTGTGGCTCTTCAGGCCGTCTGACTCCAGCCTCCTGTACTCATACCTGCCCCCCATTATTCATCTGTTCATGAAGGCAATATAGGAAGTTTTGTCATGTGCCTTCTGAAACACAGGCATCCTGTGACGCTCTGGTCACCTGTCAGAAACAGAAGATGGTTTGTCATGATTGTTCCTCAAGAATCTGTTTAATCCTGGTGGTCCCACTTTGTAGATTCTTAGTGTTCACCAAGTACCTATTGAATAATTTCTAGGAATCTGTTGATTGGCGTTGGTCTAATCTAGGTTACATCGTTAACAATATTGAAGGGTCCTTGAACCAACTGTCTCATCCACATAAGAAGGCATTAATCAGGGATGATTTGTGGAAGAGAGGACCCTTCTATCAAACTTCAACCATGGGACTTGGTGGTTGTCAAGGATCAGAAAAGACAAAGGGCACCAATGTGAAATGAATGTTTGCTTTGTCCTAGGTACAGTAGAAGGTACAATGTGTTATCCTTTTTCATCCTCTCAGCAGCCACGTGACATGGTCCTTACCCTGTTTGACCAATAAGGAAAAACCAGGCTTAAAAATAGCAGAGTACTTATTTATTTTATTTATTTATTTTTGAGACTGAGTTTCACTCTTGTTGCCCAGGCCGAAGTGCAATGGCGTGGTCTCGGCTCACTACAACCTGTGCCTCTGGGTTCAATCGATTCTCCTGCCTCAGCCTCCTGAGTAGCTGGGATTACAGGCACTCGCCACTATCCCCAGCTGATTTTTGTATTTTTAGTAGAGACGGGGTTTCACCATGGTGGCCAGGCTGGTCTCGAATTCCTGACCTAAGGTGATCCACCTGCCTTGGCCTCCCAAAGTGCTGGGATTACAGGTGTGAGGCATGGCGCCCAGCCCAGAGTACCTTATTTACAGCAGAACTGAGATTAAAATCCAGGTCTGTCTGACCCTGAAACATATACTGTTTTGTTTTTTGCCTTTTTTGTTTTGTACCTCTCATTACAGTGCAGGATAGACATGCTTTTTAAACTTTATTCCGTTGCTTTTCAATCGTGGCATGTGGAAGACACAGCTGGGATAAAATGAAAAAGAATTTGGTGCATGGCTTTGTCACTTCCAGATGTGTCCCCTTGAGTAAATCACTCAGTCTTAGTTTCCTCATCTTAAAATGAGAACCGATCTCTGGTTTTGTATTCCTATTTGATTTAGCTACAAATTAAGTAAGAGTTTGTGGAAAAAAACCTTGTTATGTAGATATAAATTATGTAAAGCTTATGTGGTTGACTGATCAAACAGATTACCCAGGTGTGGTAGTGTGCACCTCCCAGCTACTCAGGAGGCTGAAGTGGGAGGAACGCTTGAGCTTGGGAGATCAAGGCTGTAGTGAGCTATGATCGCACCACTGCACTCCAGCCTGGGTGATAGAGTGAGACCCTGTCTCAAAAATAATACAAGTAGTCAATTCATTGAATTCTGTTTTATTTCTTATAGTCGAGTTGAACTGAAAAGGTTGTGTGAGATCTTCACCCGAATGTTTGCTGACCCTCATAGCAAGGTAGGTCTGGAAGTCATGCCTGCCCTGTCTTTCCCCCTGCATGTCTGTGTGCTCTGTGTGATATACTATCCAAGAATGAGAGAGAATTCCCGATAGTGCAGTTCCGACCTTACAGAGTAACACCAGTTTCAGCACTAGTGTATGTTACATCTTTTAAAAACAGAATTCTTGGAAACTTAAATGTGCATAAAATTTCAAGTTAAATAAGTGTGCTTCAAGTAAGAGTTATCAGGGAGAGAATCAGATGGTCTTTCTTACATTTAGCAAATATTTCTGTATGTCTCCTGTTAGCCAAACAGTGAGGTAGGTGCTAGGGTATAAGATCGTATTATAATATCATGCATTTTTTAATGTTATAGTATATAGTGAAGAAAATAAGTGTATAATTATTTTTGTATCCCATGTAGAATATGTCTGTATAGGACAAGATAGAAAAAATGAAAGTATTTAATGGATTTATTGAAAAACCAGATTATTTCTTAAAATAGGATTTTGCTGTTCCCAAGAACTTGCTGAATTGGTGATCACTTAGCTGGTGCCCACACCTCCTGAGGGCCATAGGGAACACTAAGCCTGAGGAATGCTTTTTCTGAGGAGAGAGTCCCAGCTGAGGGGGAAACACCCATGCGTATGGGACAGAACACTTTCCAGGGGTGGTGGAAAAGGGGTGAGAGAAGGACTCTTTACAGAAAGTTACTTGGGGTCTAGATTTTAAATACCATTGTTTGGGAGGAGGCCCTTAGAGACTATTAAATGCTTTTGGAGGAAGAAAGTGGAAGGCAGGATGAAGATTTAGGGAAAGGGGTAGATAAAGGACAAAAGTAAGGTGTGGAAATGGATAGAACCTTAAATGAGCAGAAGCAAATCTTTAATGCTGACATGCAGGATCAACTAGTTTTCCTAGTAAAGATGGCCTCCTCTGAGTCTTCCTGGAAGAAAGAAACCCGTGGCGGCCAGAGAGCCCAGCCAGTTAGTCATCATCATCTTTCTTTTCCTATCCTTGCTTCCTCATAGGAATTGTCCTTGAAATATCAAACATCCATCCACCCATTCATTCACCCAGTCATTTAACATTTACTGAGTAACTGCTCTGGGGCGGGGATATAGAAAAGAAGATATGGCCCCAGCCTTTTGAGGTGCTCATGAGCGTAAAGGGGAGTGAATGCAAGGGTTCTCCTCCTCTCTCCCCACAACTCTCCTCACTCAGTGTCATTCTTGAAGCATGTCTTAAACTTTCTGCTATGACCCTCACAGCAAAGTCAACATTAACAATATTAATAAAAATCCACTGAGCACGGTGGCTTACACCTGTAATCCCAGCACTTTGGGAGGCCGAGGCTGGTGGATCACTTGAGGTCAAGAGTTTGAGACCAGCCTGGCCAACATGGCGAAACCTTGTCTCTACTAAAAATATAAAAATTAGCTGGGTATGGTGGCGTGTGCCTGTAATCCCAGTTATTCGGGGGGCAATCACTTGAACCTGGGAGGCGGAGGTTACAGTGAGCTGAGATCACACTACTGCACTCCAGCCTGAACAACAGAGTGAGATTCTGTCTCAGTAAAAATTCAGGAAAGGCTGAGCTTAAGCCTTTAAAGGCCACATAGATATCCAAAGATAAAATGTATCAAGATTTTTCTCTAAGGTAGTGTTAAAAGCAGTAAGATTTAATGCATAAGCATAATTAGATTCTTAAGATTTAAAACATAAGCACTATTAGATGGTTTAGAACATTGATAAATTTCTGTTACCTGTCACCCCTAGATTGCTGATTCAGAAGCAGAATGTGAGGATAAAGAAGGAAATTTGTTTCCATCAGAAGTCTCTTGTACAGTGAGTTTGGAGGTCTCAGTTTAGTTAATATTTGTTTAGCTGCCTGTAAGCTAAGCCAGGAATCCCACAGCTAAATGACCTTTTTCCTGAGCTGTCTCACAGGAGACCCCTGGTGGTGAATAGTTGCTCTACTAGAAATGAGGCGGTACAGGGTTCATGGGCTGTCCAAGTAGAACAAGTTTCGTTAGCAAGGTAGGAATACTCAGTGCTACTTTTCTCTCTGAAATTGGTTCAGAGCTGTTCCACTATGCACTCTATTTTGCCTTAGCAAAAATCATTACACAACAGCATGAGAATTATGTTAATATCTTTTATTCTAAGCTGTAACCATCTGTTACTTTATGATATCTGAAATTGGTGTACATCAAAATATCTGACGTGAAAAGCAATAGCTACACACTAGTGAGTAGGTGTTTTTATTGGCTCATTTTATAATAGTATGTGTTGACTGCTAGATAGTGAATAAGAATACTCTAGAATTAGGACACAAGGATTTGTTGTTGTTTAAGAAAGAAAAGGCTTCATGATTAAACTCAGAAAAGTTCATTTCTCTTTGTACTGCTTTTTAAAGACGTATATTGAGGGAGGAGAGAATATTTCATTGGTTTGTAGCCTTTTCAGGTTTTCTTAAATGCATGAAAATGGTATTAATTCACTGCCAACTAACATGGAATTTGTTTTGTTGCATGGCCTCGTTTGCGGTGGAATTCACAACAGAGAGTAAGTTCCATTCCTTTTTCCTTTATCTGTTTTCTGCACTACATTTTCCTTCTGTACTAGGAACAGTTGTTAACAGTGTTAACCTAAGTTACAAGAGTCTGGGCAAAGCACGTATGGGCATTTTTAATGTTTTGTAGACTTTGGAGGAAATTGTGAATTCAATATGTGAAGTACTTGGTTTTCATTTGTGTCTAGGTTTTCAGTATGTTTTTGGAGACTCTTGTGGATTTTATAATAATTCATAAGGATGATTTACAAGACTGGCTTTTTGTTCTTCTCACACAATTACTTAAGAAAATGGGAGCAGATTTACTTGGATCTGTGCAAGCAAAAGTTCAAAAGGCTCTAGATGTCACAAGGTAAGTGTTTAAGAGTTAGTTTTGACGTTACAGGATACTTGTAGGTGACTTTTTGCCATTCTCTTTTGTTAGCCATGGCGTTTGTCACTCACTTGAATATCTTTTACTCAGTTCTCACTTTCTGTTGTTGACATACTTGTTGACATGTCTCACCAATCCATGAAATGAAATACCATGTCTTCCTTGTGTTGATATTACTTTTGTATTTAAGACATACATAACAAACAAATGTAAAACTTTGGAAGTTGATTCTCTTCTCATTAAAAAACATTTAAAGAAAACATTTAGAATATTTGTTTACATTTTTCTGAAGACCTTAGTGTTTTTATTACTTCAACTTACAAGTCATACTAGAAATTATTCTATCAGTGTATGATGTAGAGTTTCTATTGGTCCAGGAAAATTCTCTAAATTGACAGTACATTGGCTCAGAGATTAATAGCACATTTGCAGTAGTTGTGACCCTTCTGGCTGTTATGAGAAAAGAAAAACTGCTGAAACCCAGAAAAGTTAGAAAAGACTACGTGCTGCTGCTGTTCAGAAACTGCTTCTCTATCGTCTGTGCAGTTGTGGGTCCTCAGTATGCAAGTATGAGAATTAAAAGATCTCGGAAGACACTTTGCAGTAATGTCTTGGTTGTGATTTGGTGGAAGATGGATGGGGGGAATGTCAAATTGGTGAACTTTTTTAAAGAACAAAGGAATAACTTCCAAGTGACTCAGAAAATTATCAGGGCGATAACTTTTATAAGTTACTACAACCTGGAATAATTCTAGTTATCATAGAATTTCAAGATGAAAGGACCTTAAAGATGATGCTCATTTTATCAGTGAGAAACAGACACTTTACCTTGACTTTGTGTTAGTGGCTGTTTGGGAACGAAAATCCAGGATTTCTGATGATTGCACTGTTGTCTGTTCTTATTGTTGCAGGCTGTCTTGTGGGTGTGTGTCCTCACCTCCTGTTGGGGCAGGGGGGTGGTATGGATAGCACTAGAGCTTTCTCTTCCCTCTCTGGCTCCCTTGACTAGCACAGTAACATATCCTGCCCTGCCAGCTTCCCTATGCGTGCAGCTGTTACATGACTCTGACTTCAAAGTATGCATCTGTTCCTCTACACCATGATGCCAGCTGTTTTCTTTTGGCCCTTGACCCTGTCAATCTGTGTAATTGCATTGCTGTGTAAATGCAATTGCATCTATTATCCAGAGAGATTTCCCTTCTGGTTTTTAATGAACTCAAAGTAATGTACTTGCATCTGTTGGTGAGGCCTTAAAAAAAGAATAATAATAAAATAAATAAGAATCAAAGTAACGTACTACATTTGCAATAAAGCCTTCAAACTTTGTCATTCCTTTGCATGGCTAAACTTAGTGGAGTTAGGGGGCATTACAGTACACCATTATACCAATGAATTATAAAGGTTTAGCCAAGATTGACTGAGGGGTAGGCTGATAAGCTGGTATAATCGAGTGGAGTAGATAGGAGGGCTCTTGAAAGGCTGGGGCCAGTTGTGACCACATTGGGACATGGGCTCAGTAGTACCAGACTTTTCAAGAAATGTGAGAAATGTGGATTTGGGCAACATATTTGAGAATTTTTTAAGATACTGTGAAGGCCAAATAAAACACATGTAAGCCAGACTTGGCCTATAGGTCACTTAATTTAGGTTTTTAGGAATGGTAGGAGTATTAAGATTGTATTCCTAAACTTTGGTGATTAAGGAATACAATTGTGACCTCCTGTTAGTTTTCCTGGATGCCCCTTTAAGAGTCCTCATCTCAGTAGATTTGGTCTGAGTGCCTAAAGCATTTTTAATATTCCCTTCTTTTTCTCAGCAGTTAAGATACACAGTTGTTTAAGCTGATCTAGAATAGTCAGTGACTATTAATAGGAGGTTTTAGTGACGGCTGAGAATTGCTTCTCAGTTTATAGACTTGCGTGCTAATCTGCCTCGGTTTCCTTTCCTTTGCCTGTGCCTAACAGTGGCGTGTTTCCCGATTATACACACCCGTTACTGAAATGTCTTCTCCATCCACCCCATGCTGCCAGAAAAAGGGAGAGACATTTTGTGGGTGGTTTGTTGACAGTCACTGAAATCAGGTATTCTAAAGTATACTTTCCTTCCCGAAGTGATCTTCAGAGATTCCAGGGTACAACTAGATGGTGGGAGGGGAGGGCACTATTGGATCAAGTTCACTTTTTATTAGTAATTATATGTAGGATAACACTGGTACCTAATATATGCCATGTGCTTTTTATTTTTGTTGTATGATTTTATTTACTTTTCAAATCAATTCTATTTGCTTCATTTTGAAGAGTCAAACCTACTTCTTTATTTTACTACATTTATGTAGATTGGGAAAAATCTCTAAGGGGGTCCAAAGAAAGCAGTGTAGATATTTGCCTTGCAATTATCTTTCCTGTTAATATGGACGTTACATCACCATTTTCCACATGGGCCCCATTGTGCAATTTTTAACTAATACTAGTAATTACAGCATTTTAACAGAAAGAGCACTGACTCTCTGGCCAAGAGTCCCTGAGGGCGACTTGATTGGATCAGAGATGCGTGATGACCACGAGAAATAAGATCAGCAAAGGCAAGAATGGAGCAAGAGAAGGGGCTCCTGGGGCCCCAGGCTTCTGTGTGTGATTTGTAGCTGGATGGGAAATGTTTTGTTGCCGTCTCACAGGCGACACACTTTTGTGGTGTGCAGGGACCCTAAGCAGTGACCAGGACCAAAGAGGATGGTACGGTTAGTTTAAGCAGGGGCAGCTGTAAGCAGCCCAGTCAGGATGTAAAAATGAGATTTGGGTATCAGAAGCGATTTTTATGTTTAAGCAATATCCAGAAAGGTAGCTGGAGGGAAAATGAGCAACTCCCTAAAAAGGCGGGTAGAAATTTCTTCCTTAGTTTATTGCTTAGTCTTAATTTTTTAAATAGCCACTCAAAGTAAGTTCAGTTTGTGTTTGGGGACTGCAAAAAGATTTTCCTTTTTCCATATTTTCTGTATAACATGTATTACTTTACATAAAACAAAAAGCACTGTTAAAAATGTGAACAGGGTTTTACATACATTAACTTACAATGATATGCTTTTGTTAAATAGTTTTATATTGTTTTGTAATAAATTTCTTTAAAAATCACTTTTTTTCCCACCAACTTAGGGACTCCTTTCCATTTGATCAACAATTTAACATTTTGATGAGATTTATTGTGGATCAAACTCAAACTCCAAACCTCAAGGTCAGTAATTATTTGTCGTTACAATTCAACCCTGGAACTCAAATTTGCTTAAATTTACTTTTGTTTGTACATGACCCATGTTTAGCTATTGTGAATAAATCTGCTGTGAGCCTTCTTGCTTGATTCTTTGTGGACATGTTCCTGTTTCTCTTGGTTTGGTACCTAGTAGTGTATTTGCTGGTTCATTGGATAGGTATATGTTTAGCTTTTTTAGAAACCACTAAAATGGTGGTACCATATTGTATTCCTACCAGTAGTTTATGAGAGCTCTAGTTTTTCTACATCCTCACCAACATTTGGGCAGTACTAGTCTTTTTCACAATTAATATTTAAACTAGAAAATTAAGACATTCTTATGTGTGGAAATAGGTATCTTGTTGGAATGTTTAATATTAACATTCTAAGCTATGCAAGTTAATTGTTACATGTTGTGGAAAATCATACCTGTAATAACAAGACCAAGTTTGAGGGAGGATGTGTGTTAATTTGAATTAGGTCACGTTCATCGTCTGTTCTTTGATCATTAACTTTTTGGAGGTTTTAGGATGAGCCTAATAAATAATTACCTTTTTCTCCTGAAGTCAAAACTAGTTGAGAAGTTGATGGTGAAGTTAGGGCAGAGCATCAGCTTGATTACTGACAATGCTGCCTTACAGAACATGGCCTAGAATGTGTGACAAGACTAGAGCTGAACGTACCCTGCAGTCAGTGGCAGAGCTGGAAATCCCACAGGCCTCTCGCAAGGGCTCCTGCCCCGGAAGTGTCTTGCAGCATAGGTGAGGGGGAGAGCACGCTTCTCTACAGGCACCTAAAAATGAAGAGAACTGAGTCGTGTGCTTCTTCCTGTCCCCAGACTTACCAATCAGTCATTTCATGCTTTTTCCCCTGTTGGATGTCGCTCCATGTGGAAACTATCAATACAGGAGAAAGAAAGGAGATCCCTCTCAACAGGGTTTACTTTTCTCTAGCCACCTGATAAGAATTGTGTTCAAAGATGCATCAAGTGTACTTAATGTTTATAGTTATTGGCTCTTTCAGGTCAAAGTTGCAATCCTGAAATACATTGAGTCTCTGGCCAGACAGATGGATCCAACAGATTTTGTAAACTCTAGTGAGACAAGGCTTGCTGTTTCTAGAATCATAACCTGGACAACAGAACCAAAGAGTTCAGACGTGAGAAAGGTATGTCCGAGAGAACTGATGTATAATTACAGATTGTTCCTGGGCTTGTGTTAGACAAATGTATTTAGAAACTTGAAAACCACGCCGCCCACACACAAACCTTTTGTCCCTAAGGCTCTGCTGTTGCTCTTTTCTCTCTCCTGCTCTGCCCAGTTTTGAACATAAAAGTGAAAATCTGAGATCTTGCACGATGGGCTTATGGTTTCCCCAGGCATCTATTTTATGTATTTTCTAATATGAAATCACTAGTAAATTAGTGTCTTTTACACAGATGTTTGTTTTCCTTCTATCAGTTTGTAATACATACTTTGAAGACAAAATTGCAGACCTAGGGCTGGCTGGCTACAGGGTCCCTGATCGTTAAAATGTGGTTGAAAAGTTTGATAAGATGCAATAGATTCTTAAAAAAGAGCAAACATCTTTCAATATGTAGCACATAAGTGTGTGATATGTGAGTATGTGCTTCTGCGATGGAATGTTACTTAAGTATTGCCTGCTACAGGCTGAAACATATTTTAGATTTGCATATTACCTCAATTAGGGCCTGTTTGGAACAAACGAGCTTTGATGATAATGCCCACTCCCTGTGGACATGCACATTAGAATATTTGAACAAGGACTTATTGTCCTTACTATTCTATTAAGAACATTACAGATAATTTTGAATTATTAGCCTGAGGCTCCAAAAACCTCAACTTATTTTAGTACTAGCTCAAGCCAAATAAAAATAGAACATTAGATATCTTGCCAGAAATCACTTCGTTCATTTACTGTTTGAATGAGCTTCAACACTTGTTTCAGTTATTTTGGATTATACAGTGTTACTTCGCAAAGCTTTATCTCCACTGACGTGCTACTTTCCATGCCTGCCCCCCTACTTCTCCTTTCCCATTGTGAGGTGTACTTAAATCCTCACCTTCACACCTAACTTATACCTAGGTTCTAGGACAATAATCCTGATCTTCAGAGGAATTTGAGAAGATTCAGATTAATAGTTCCCAGTCCTGGCTGCAATTAAAATCAACGTAGATTTCTGAGCTCTATTCCCAAGGAATTTGATTTCATTGGTATAGGGCAGAGCCTAGACACTCTGTTGTTTTTTTGATGGGGGTTCCTTTCACTCTTGGCTGATTTTTAATACACAGACAAGGCCTAGTATTTTGGGCCATGGTCCTGGAATGAACCTCAAGACATACAGACTACTGATGTAGTCTTGATCTGTTTCTTGCAAATTCTCTTGCTACGCAGTGTTGCTCCTCAGTATCTTCAGGACTAGGCTTGGCCTCTGTGTTCCCTGGCATCTTCCCCACCACCCTACCTTGGACCTAGAGCTTTTGTGCTTCCTCTAAACCCACTTTAGTGGTTAGGGCCCTGTTACCCTGGGCAACTTCCTTCAAACTGATGGAATACCGGCCTGGTTTTCTGTATGCTGTCACTCAGTGCACTCTGTATTAATCATAGAAAGCTTCCTAGAGAAGATAAGATTCATCCTCAGATGTGGAATATGGATGCAGTTTGCGTAAGTGATGAGTTTAGGGGAAGGACAGTAGTCATGTTTAAGAAATGAGATTTGTCTGGAAACCGTGAAATAGACTGATATGTCTGAAGCAGAGGGTTTGGGAAGTTGAGCAGTAAGGAGACTGTTTTGCTCACCCTGCATGCTCAGTGCCTGGCATATGCCTGGAGTAACATAGTAGGCATTAATATATTTTGAATGAATTAATGAATGATAAACACCCATATGGAATGATTTCATTTCAAATGATATTTTGAAGCCATCATTTTTAAAACTATAGTTTTGGAAGTTCCCTTCTTTTGACTTCTTTATTCGTTTTCTATTGTATAACAAATTACCACATACTTCCCTTGAAACAATACAGATTATCTCACAGTAATAAATCAGGAATCTGGCATGTGTTCTCTGGGTCCTCTGGTCGGTGTCTCAGAGGCTGAAACAAGATGTCATCTGGATCTGCAGTCTCATCTGAGGCTGAGATCTTCTTCCAGCTCATTGGTTCTTGGCAAATTTCAGTCTCTCGCAGGTGTAGAACTCAGCCGCCTGCTTTCTTGCTGACTGTCAACTGGGGAGCCATTCTCAGATAGTAGAGGCTGCCAGGAAGTTTGCTTATTCAAAGCTATCGGGAGAATACATGAAGAAATAATAACTAAGAAACTCCCCAAATTCGACAAAAAACATTATACGTCTAAGTAGCCCAACAAACTAAAAAAATTTGGGTTTTTTGTTTGTTTGTTTATTTGTTTGTTTTGAGATGGAGTCTCGCTCTGTCACCCAGGCTGGAATGCAGTGGTGCGATCTCGACTCACTGCAACCTCCGCCTCCCGGATTCAAGTGATTCTCCTGCCTCAGCTTCTTGAGTAGCTGGGGTTATAGGTGCACACCACCACACCTAGCTAGTTTTTGTATTTTTAGTAGAGACGGGGTTTCACCATGTTGTTCAGGCTGGTCTTGAACTCCCGACCTCGTGATCCGCCCACCTTGGCCTCCCAAAGTGCTGGGATTACAAGCGTGAGCCACCGCGCCCAGCCAAGATCTTTTAATAAAAGGATTCACACCTAGACACGTAACATCTAATTGCTGAAAGCCAAAGCTTGCTGAAAGCAGCAAGAGGGGAGAAACTCATCCCACGCACAAGATCCTCAATAAGATTAACAGCTCATTTCTCTTCAGAAACTGTGGAGGACAGAAGGCAATGGATGACATTGAAGGTGCTGAAAGAAAAAAAGCGGTTAGCCAAGAATTCACTATTTGGCAAAACCCTAATTCCAAAATGAAGGAGAAATTGAAACAAAGCCAGCCATAGAATCTCTCTCATTTTGAAACTCCCTGATGCCTTTTTTTTTTTTTTTTTTTTGAGACAGAGTCTCGCTCTGTCGCCCAGGCTGGAGTGCAATGGCCCAATCTCAGCTTACTGCAAGCTCCGCCTCCCGGGTTTACACCATTCTTCTGCCTCAGCCTCCTGAGTAGCTGGGACTACAGGCGCCCGCCACCTCGCCTGGCTAGTTTTTTGTGTGTTTTTTTAGTATAGACGGGGTTTCACTGTGTTAGCCAGGATGGTCTCAATCTCCTGACCTCGTGATCCTCCCGTCTTGGCCTCCCAAAGTGCTGGGATTACAGGCGTGAGCCACCGCGCCCGGCCTCCCTGATGCCTTTTAAGGGCTTGCCTGATTAGGTCAGGCCCACCCAGGATAATCTTCCTTTGGATTAACTCAAAGTCAACTGATTAAGGGCCTTAATTACATTTTTCGAAAATCCCTTCTACCACGTAACACAGTCATGGGAGTGATATCCATTATATTCACAAGTCCCGCTCACTCTAAGGGTGGGAGGGATTATATAGGATGTAATATGTTATGGGGAATCTTGGGGGGCCGTCTTAGTGTCTTGACTACCAGGACTTTGGTGTCTCTTTTAGGGGGTTGGCAGAAGGCTACCGTAGTTATTCCATAATTCCTTGGCTCTTATTTTAGGAGGGAGCTTTTTTACCTATCTATGCAAATTATGATGTGGTTCAAGTTACTTAGCAGACGCATTTCTGTGTTCTGTCACCTAGATTTTTTTTTTTAAATCATCTAAGATATCCGTGGCTCTAAACTATTTGGCTTTCAGTAACATTCCGCACTAACTAGTAAAGCATTACTTTTGATTCAAATAGTTGTATCATAGGACAGTATTAAAATAGATGTCCTCAAACTCTACATTAGGGCGCTGCAGATTAATCCTTTTTGGAGGTAGATTCACTTTTATTTAAATTCCCTGTTTTGATGTACCATCCATTGAACATTTATAAATATAGTTGCTTTTGTCAGTGATGCAGCTGCCTTACCCAGGAATATGAGATGTTCTTGAAGTACTGTCAAAATGAAAATACTTAGAAGAATTGTGATATAGCATATATCACTGCTCTAAGATCTAAAATTGATAACATTTAAAATTATTTTAAAGCTGTATAAAAATAAAACTGTATCTTATCTAGATCATTTAACACACTAAACGTAAAATACATGTCTGTATAAATAAACTTTGTTCTGCCTCATCCTTCATTTCCAGAGTTTTTTAAAGGTTATATTAGGGATTATGGAAATCTTGGTGATTTAAAAGCATTTTGTGATCTTAAACCAAGTTCTTCTGTTAATGTCCTGCTTTAATTTTTTTAGGGTGGGTGTTCTAAATACAGAAGAGCCCTTCAGTCTGAAATTTATACAGTAAATTCTCAGACTCATCTCTGGAGAATATTTTATGTAAACAGAGTACCTGGGGACTTTTCAGACATTCTCTAAGTCCATACAACCATGTTTGTGAAAGCACTTTTGAAGCATTTTAAACTGATACAAGCTGATATAACTCAGATTCATTGATTTTAGCATTTTTAATATTTTGTTTTCCTTCTTAGTATATTGGGGTGTTTCACATTGTGGAGGGAGGGGTGCTTAAATCGTTAAGGTGTTTTTAAAATCAAAACATGAACGAATCACCAGTGAGGTGTGCTTACCACACTGAGACTGGTTTGGACAAAACGAAAAAGCCCAACCCAGTCTGTAACTGGCCTGCTGTATTCCAAAAGTAAACTTTTCCATTTTCTCAGTGTGGGAGCCCTGACTAGTTTAGTTGTGTGATGAAACTATGCAGACGTACACTAGACCTTTCTTAATGCACTGTATTGACATAAGGTAATAGTATATCTTACTGATAGAAAGAAGGTGGGTTCTGGAGTTTGACCTCCATTTGACTTCTGCGTCTGCCACTCACTGGGGTCAGAGCAAGTAATTTAATCCCTTTGAGTTCTTGTTTATTGTCTATAAAATGGGAATAATAATACTTGCCTCAAACTGGGCATGGTGGCGCGTGCTTGTAATTTCGGCTACTTGGGAGGCTGAGGTGGGAGGATTGCTTGCATCCACAAAAAGAGACCCATCTCTAAAATACATAAGTAACACTTGCCTCAGGCATTACTAAGCGGTTTAAATTTTTATTAATATATTAATAAAATATATTAAAACCTAGACATTTTATTTGCAGTTGCAGCTCTGCTATTATTTTTTGATGATTGTTTTGGTTTTGCTGCTGTTGTTATTTATGGAATAAACTGAGTACCAGAATTTTTCCTAAGATTTAGGAAGCCATGTGATCAGTCAGAGGGAATGTGGTAAATGGCAGTAGAATTTTAATTGTATGTTTACATGTTGGAATTTAGAATGCCTGTATGTTAGCTTATCACATGTGATTCTCTTTGTCAAATGAAGTAACAGATTTAGCCCCCAAACCTTGTTTTGAGAAGTGTGGGCAATGAAGGCATGGCAAAGAAACCTAGAAGTATAAAGATGCTGTTGGCTAGAGCAGGGAGAAGTATTAATGCATAAATTACATTGAAAAGGTGAGATTTCTAATTGACTTTAAAAAAATATATGATTATAAAGGCAGCATGCCTCTAGTCTGAAAGCTAAGGGTTTTACTATCAAATAACTGAATCTCAGCTTAACTGTGACTGTGAGTCTCTTTCAAGTCTTTCTTGTTGTTGTTGTTGAGACAGTCTTGCTCTGTCACCCAGGCTGGAGTGCAGTGGCACGATCTCAGCTCACTGTAACCTCCGCCTCCCAGGTTCCAGCGATTCTCCTGCCTCAGCCTCCTGGGTAGCTGGGACTACAGGCACATGCCACCACACCCAGCTAATTTTTGTATTTTTAGTGGAGACGAGAGTTGTTGGCCAGGCTGGTCTCAAACTACTGACCTCAGTTGATCTGCCCACCTTGGCCTCCCAAAGTGCTGGGATTACAGGTGTGAGCCACCATGCTGGACTCTTTCAAGTTTTATTTGGACATCTTCCATTTCATCACCTGAAGCAAGAATACTACTTTTAAGTTTATTAAGTAAAAGACCTAGTGATGCTACTGAGGGTTAAAACTGGCAGCTACTGTTATTATTCTGATTCTTCCTAACTTTCAATCATGTGTGTCTCGCTGATTTTATCTAAGAAGCCAAATGCTTTTGTAGCTAACAGATTGCCATGTTTAGGCACTTTCTGCTTCTCTCTGATTCAATCCTCCCACCTTTCCTGTTTGCCAGTCCTCGCTTCAGCGTAGTCGAGTAGGTGAGGATTTCCCCACTAGGTCAGCTTCAACCTGCTCTGGGCCTGGAGAAGGAAACTTGGAAGAAAGTTGTAAACAGGTAGATTGAAAACTGTGTACTAATTTCAAACAGCACACTTCACTGTTTGCATTTTAGATTATTAATACCAGTTGCCCTTGTGAAGGCACTGGGAAGCTTTTGATAAATCTAAAATTAATATAATACTATATGAGCGTGTGTATGTGTGCCTGTGTCAACCTTTGTGTTATGGTGTGTTTTATGATTAACTACCTTCTCAGTGATATAGCCATGTTTGTGTCGACTGCTACCATATTTTAATAGAATAGTAAAAAGGAGAGATAGTAGGCTGGAGCAGTGGCACACGCCTGTAGTCCCAGCTACTTGGGAGGCTGAGGCAGGAGGATTGCAGGAGTTCGGGTCTGCAGTGCACAGTGATCATGCCTGTGAGTAGCCACTATACTCCAGCCTGGGCAATATAGCGAGACCCCCATCTCTTGAAAAAAAAAAAAAAAAAAAAGGAGAGATGCTAAATGAGAAATGACTGAAGGTTTTGAAATAGGTTCTCTTTGGTGACTTTATGAAGCAATTTTTATTGAGAATCTGAAGGGAGCAGTGAGTTGTTTAATAAATTGGAAAACTCTGCTTTTCCTCTCAAATTTTGTTTTCCCAAATTAATAATAACACTGAAGTGTTTGGCAAAGCTTTATTTTGATCTGATCTGCTAGGAAGAATTCCTTTCTGCTATAAGGTGTGCAATATTCAAGACAGTTGATGTCCCTGGGAGTTCTCTTCATATGGTAGCAGTGAGATATGAAGAACCTTTTACAAATCCCACCTCTCAAATTCCTCTATGAGGGTGTGTGTGAGAATCATTTCATTTTAAGTTGCCGTGTGATCCTTAAAATAAATTGCCCTAGGGTTGCCCATTAGAAAAAGTCAGCAGTACTCTTGAGTTTTTCATCTGGCTGCCTAATGGTCTTGCCTCTTACGAAGACAACAGTTCAGGTATGCAGACAAGAACAGTGGCTACTCCGCTTTTTGAGTCACTAGTGAACATGAGCTATGCCCCAGGCTTTTTAAATGCATCTCTCCAGCCCAGTTCCGTATCTGGAATTACTTGTTTAATGAGATCATATTGATGGTAATGATAAATATAACCCAGTTTTCTTCCTTGCTTGGATTCCATTTTAACTTCTCACTAATTCAGAGGGTCAGAGATAAACTATTTGAAAATAATAACAGTCTAATTCCTTGCAAAACTCTGATATAAAATCTTTTAAAAATTGGATACTTGGTCCGGGCACTATATGCCTATAATCCCAGCTACTCCAGAGACTGAGGCAGTAGGATTGCTTGGAGCACAGGAGTTCGAGCTGCAGTGCACTGTGATTGGACCTGTAGATAGCCACTGCACTCCAGCCTGGGCAATGAGACCCCCGCCTCTTTTCGTAGGAAAAAAATGTATATTTAAATGATACTTTCTACCAGTTTCTAGAACTTGGATCTTATTTTTAAAAGATTTTACTTTGGAAATACTTTAAGCTACTAAGTTTATAATTTGCATCATGAAAAGCCTCAAGTTAGCTTGAGACATTAGATAACATTCTGGGAAGAAATATTGTCTCTTAAATAAAGGCAGTGGCACATTTGACATAAAAAGCATACTATTCAAGAAGGTAATTATATGTTTTATAACCTTCAGATGCCATTTTCAGTCAACAAAATTTAAGTGCCAATATTTTTTAATTAAATTGATGACATTGATGTGTTTTTCCTGCTGCAATTCCAGGCTGCTGCTTTCTTTCTTCTTGTAGTGCATTATTTTTCTGCATGCATTGGTTTTTTCCTAACACCTAATACAATGTGTTTTAAAAATATGCAGGTTATTTTGCATGAGTTTTGGAAAAACTTGTTCTGTTATACAAATGTACATATCAAATTAACAGTACATTAAATTGTTGGTGGAGTAGATTCCTTCAGATAATTTGTTTAAAATGTTTCCAAAATGAAATGTAGAAAAGCATATTTTAGTGAAATCAATAATAATGTTTTTTGCCCACGCCATAAAAATATTTTGGCCACTTATGATTTAATTTGGGTGGAAAAGGTATTGATGACTGTATTTGAAATTAAAGGGGGGAAAAGTAATGTACTTTTGCCCATGCTTTGATGAATGATTTCAAAATGTTAAAGTAATTTTTGATTATATTTTTAAATTCATAATTCTTATTTTTGGTTAAATACCTTTGGGTTTTTGGATTTATTTTCCTTCTCCATGCACAAAATAGTAATTGTCCTAACTGGACGTATAATTAATTGTAGCATTGTAAAATCCTTGAACTATTTTGTGATTTTTATTTCCAAAAGATTCTCTCTGCAAGCACATTTTTTGTGTAATATTCTATGTCATGGAAAAAAATTCTGAATAATTACTGCAATCTTAAAAATTACAGTCTTTGGAAAGACTTTATGTTTGTAAAATCTTTATGGTTAAAAATGAAAAAGAAGTGATTATATTCACAGACAGTTTTTTGTGTCTTTTTCTTTCCCTTGACTCTTAGAAATTAATAAGAAATGCCAATTAGTATTTACTAAATTTTTTTTGGCTTGGCTTTTGTAAATGAAAACTATTATAATTAATTCCTCAGGCATTGTGCTTTAAGCTCAGATTGCCTGCTACTAAATCCATAGAAAGCACATCACTTACTAGAAGCCCGAGTCTCGTTGACTACTCTTACTGCTTTGCCTACCTCGCTACCACAGTCATTACAAGCAGGCTTGCAGTGTGTTGACTCAATTAATAAGCAAAAGTAGAACATTTTCCAAAAGGCAGAAGAGCATGTTTTTAATGTAGACTCCTTCAAAGTCCGGTTTGCTTCTCAGAAGTCTCTCTCCTTGGTTTATAGGTGTAAAAGTAGAAGTTTTTCTGAGGTATTTATACTCGTTTTCTCGTGTTTCTTAGTCAAGAGAAATGTGGCTTCTCAAGATAACCTAATGCAGCTTGTTTAAAAATATGTGCTCTCCAAGGTGCACTGAGATCCCTGTTCAGTTCTGAATTATTCAAGTGGGATCAGTCTTAAACTTTTTAAACTTTTTAATTGTTTCATTTAGCTATTTACCAGCTTCCTTCCTAGTACCAGATAACGAAAGAAAAGTTCTAGGAATTTATTATTAGTGTGCTGTGGAATTCCAAGGCCAGAACATTAAAGTGAAGCCAGAGTTTATTTTCCAGATTGAAGTCAGACTAATGATTGATATTATTTTCTTCAGATGCTTCTTTGTTTTTGATGCCTAGAATGCCCTCTTATTAGTGATTTTACATATAAAATATTTTTTAAAAACAACTTTTACCAACATTTTGATGAAGGACCTATTGTACGTTACATAAATTAATCATGGTTCCTTTTTCTAGGCAGCACAAATTGTGCTAATCTCTCTGTTTGAATTGAATACTCCTGAATTTACCATGTTACTTGGTGCCTTGCCAAAAACATTCCAGGATGGTGCCACCAAACTCCTGCACAACCACCTCAAGAATTCCAGTAACACCAGTGTGGTGAGTGCTTTGGTCACGGTTGGTGTCTCTGTGATGTCCATGACCTCTGCGGAGCCATTACCTAGAACCTACTCTCATAGAATACCCCGTTTCCTTGTCCTCTTTCAGGAAATGCCGAGCATCCTGAGGACAGGGCCATCCTGAGCCCCGTGAATGAATGAATCTGATATTTAAGTATGGCCTTTTTCCTTAGGCTGTTCAGTCAGCTACATTTTCACTAGGCTATCCAATTAGTCATTCATTCACTGAGTTGGTCTTATTTTTCAACACTGGAAAGATGCAGATGCTCAATTTTGTCTGTCACTCTGGCACACCCAACATCAGTCATTCGACTCCAGGAGTGCCTGTATGATGATTATTCATTTTTGGTTTATATGCACTTAAAATTGGCCTTATGATTCTGAGGGGCGGGGGAACCATCCTGGGCAGATTCTACCCATTTATTTACATGTGGATTAAAAGACCAAGGAGAGAATAGAATAATATTCTATGTACAGCACTGGAATAATGATGCCTATTCTGCTTCACCCCAGGGCTCTCCAAGCAATACGATTGGCCGAACGCCCTCCCGACACACCAGCAGCAGGACCAGCCCCCTAACCTCACCCACCAACTGTTCCCATGGGGGTCTGTCTCCAAGGTAAGGTCACTTCTTTACTTTCCACAGAATTAAAGAAACTAAAGCACCTTAATTGCTGTGCATCCTATTTCTACATTTTTTAGACTAAGCTAAATAACAAAAAGAATATTGAGTATCAAGAACCATGGGTTCTAGTCCTCACTCGAATTGTAACAGTATAATCTTCCGCAAAGGGGTTAACTTCTATGGTAAGATGAGTGGTGTGTGCTGAATGTTCTCTGGTTCTAGTAGCTCTAAACACTCACTGGTACCTAATAGTACCTACAACTGAAAGTTTACATTTAGTACTGTTTTGCATAGAATCCATGTAGAAGCTCATTACCTGTTCTGCAAGTGGCAGAACCTGAAGGTATTTAGTCATCCAAGCCAACTTGTTATAGTCAGTTACACCAAGTCTGGGGTAGTTTTTTAACCCAAGTAGTCATTCTAAACATAGTTGCTGTCATGTTTGAAGCAGAATGCTGCTCTGAAGGACTGTGATTTAGAATCTGAGAACTAAAATTGGGTCCACATTTCATACTCTTATTGGGACCATGCAAATATTGGCCCTATAGAAGCTGAGGCAGTGACTTAAAAAGAGAACCTGCTTTGTCGGGATCTTTAGTGATACTTCACCATCTGATCAGAGCCTTTAGAAGTCTGCGTGGTGGCTTTAGTGACCCCCTCACATGGGCTGGGAGTGACCCATGGCCCCACTCAAAGTAGTTGCCCTACAGGCCAGAATTTTGATGAAAGAGCCAGTGTCTGGACCAGCAAGGGGCACACATGCTCTGTCTACAGGATTAACTCTTTGGGATCACTAACAATACAAACCAGTAAGCTTTTGTCCTGAAGGCTGCTGGCACCGAGATCAGAAAATGAAATGACAGTATGACAAGTATGCTGTTTTCCCTTTAATGGGACCTTGTTACTAGGAAGATATCAAAACATAATTGCTTCTACATTTAGTTTTTTAAATGATCAAGAGTCTCCCACACTTCTTCCTTATCACTCTAGATTTCCAGTTCCTCATATCCTTTAAATACTTTGGAACATAAGAAATGTGTATTTTCCTCTTGGTGAAACCAAGTCTTTTCTGTAGCTGTCTTATCTTGCTGTTTAGATTGCCCTTATGTTTACTCCCCCAAATGTCTCTTTGCACTATATTTAGGTAGATGGCAATGTGATATTATGTCTCCAGATTTGGTCTGTATTGTCATGGCTTCAACAGGCTGTTACAATTAAAAAATTGAGACCAGAGACTAATGAAAATATGCTTGACTTTCCCCAGGTGTGACTGAGGTTTAGCCATTTTTTTTTTTTCCTTAATACTACCATGTATGTCTAAAGAATATGGTGGTACAGTGGTGACAGTAAAATCATAAAATTGTCTTTCCTAGTGGAGAAACTTATATGCAAAACTTGAATTTTCTGTAAATTGTCACCTCTGTCTAGAAGAGATAGTTACACAATATTAATTGGGAAGTCTTTTCTTCCATAACATACAGTTCATACGTCTTTTAGTTATTGCATTCTTAGGGTGGCACATTCTTTAGATAGTAAGTCAAAAGGTATAACTCATATTAAGCATTTTATTATTATTTGTGCTACTAATCTAACTAAAAACTTGTTAATGCTGTTAGTATCATTCATCAGAGCTGAAACTGGCTAAGTCAATCTCTATGGGTCCTCAAGTCATTAAAAATTTTCTTTTTCAAGGTCATTATCCCTTCTTAATTGGCCTCATCTTAATTTTTATTTATAGTTACAGATCAGTGGAAGAAACAAGATTTATTTTCAATATTCAGTAGTTCATGTGTGGTCTAAATATTTTCTTGTTATCAGATTCTTCTTTAGGGAGTTATTTATGTAGTTTCTTTCTTGGAAAAATACATTTTTTTAAACTTGCCATCATTCAGTGCATAGATAGCCAGATGGCCTCAGCCAACTTGAGCTCACGGAAGAAATAGTTTTTCTTGCAACTAAAACTGTCCGGCAGTGGGAAAAACTGCCTCGTGTTATCATGTCACTAGAAATATTCAAATAGGCTACATATTTTCTAAAGGAAAATGATAAAAGAAATGGATTATTGCACTAAATAGAATTGAGTAGGTTACCTCATTTAAGGAGACTATAGAAAGGTAGACAGATCTGTTTTATATAATCTCAGCTATTTTTTCTGAGCATTGCTCTTAAATTGTTGATTTTCTGCAACCTGCCATTTCTTTGAGTTATCTTGACCAGTGTTAGCCTTTTATTCTGTAGGGGAAAAGCTATTACCAATTATTTGTTTTCAGTCAAATTTATTTATTTATTTATTTGGAGAGTGAGTCTCACTCTGTCACCCAGGCTGGAGTGCAGTGGCATGATCTCTGCTCACTGCAACCTCTGCCTTCTGAATTCAAGCGATTCTCATGTCTCAGCCTCTTGAGTAGCTGGGACTACAGGCATACACCACCACGGCAGGCTAATTTTTGTATTTTTAGTAGACGGAGTCTGGAACTCCTGACCCCAGGTTATCCACCCACCTCTGCTTCCCAACGTGCTGGAATTAAAGGCATGAGCCACCACACCTGGCCTGTTTTAAGTCTAATTTTAACTGTCAAAATGAACTTTTTTTTTTAAGTTCAAAATTTCTATACTTGGATCATGATAATAGTAAGAAACTATTCTAAAATGATAAATCTGATAATTGTTTAAAAATATCACTAGCGGCTAGACATGGTGACTGATGCCTGTAATCCCAGCACTTTGGGAGGCCAGTGTGGGAGGATTGCTTCAGCCCAGGAGTTTGAAAGTAGCCTGGGCAACATAGTGAGATCCTGTCTCTACAAAGAGTAAAAAATCAGCCGGACATGGTGCCACACAGCTGGGAGGCTGAGGTGGGAGGATTGCTTGAGCCCAGGACATGGAGGCTTCAGTGAGCTGCACTCGAGCCTGGACAACAGAATGAGACCCTGTCATATTTATTTATTTATATATATACATATATAAAAAATATATATGCATATATCTCTCACCAGTGAGGAAGTCATTTTTTTTTCATCAACCCAGTAGTAGTAGAGATGCTGTAGATAATAGGTTAAACTTTTGTAAAACACTCTGTTAGACATCATTTCTGTGTGAAAGAGTAAACTGCCTATATAAATATGTGAAGTACATATTTATATTTTACCCAATGTGGTTTTATGGTAAATGAAACACCGAGTTGCACGGGGCTTCAGAAATCATCTGAAGTCCATTTCCTTTAAGAGAAAAAAGTATATGGTGGTCCTTGCTCTGGTCTGCCATCTGTTCTTGGCAAACATGTCATAGAGCGGGATGACTCTGTAAATAGCGTGTGTGTCCCTAGCAATAGGAAGTCATTTTTAGTGGCCCTCTTGTGAGAGGATCCAGAGTATGGATCGAATGAAAGTGGGCTTAACAGGGAGACTCCGCCCCACACTCGGAGGTGGGTGTGTCTGCCCCTCCTTCCCCAAGCAGACGTCCAGCCGGAGGTGTCACCTACATCCCTCCTGTGCCCTCACCTCCAACCCACTGTGTGTGTCTGACCCAGTGTGTGCCTCACAGAGAGGCCAGTGTGTCTTTAGGCCTCTGTACAGCAGTGACTTCACATCTCCATGACTTATTTTCCTTATAAAGCAGAGCTATACCTGTGCTCAGGGAAGACTAGCATGCAGAGGCTCCCGCTGTGATGATGCCAGTGAATGCCAGTGGCAGGCAGGGCTGTTCTGTAGGTGCCCTGGCGCTGATGCCATGGACTCCACCCTGGCCTTCCCCCACATCACCAACCAGCCCAGCTCCCCACTTTCCCAGGCTTTCCCTCAATCCTTTTGAATTGCAGCAGTTGTTAGAACTCTCCTTCAGGGCCTCTGCAAGCCCAGGCACCCAGTGACATTTGCAAAGGGAAGATGAATACTTGTGTTCCCAGAAGAATTTCAGTTCTCATATTAGGTGATATGAGCAGAGAGGTTTGGTTTTTATGACCTGGTACTCTGAGCTGGCCAGCTGAGACTTAACACACTAGCCCTCTAGTGGTGCTACTCTTGTTTCAGAAGGAAACAGCTTGTGCTGTCTCTGAACACCATCCAACTGGATCACAGCCCCAGAGAATGCACTGCTCCACATTGGAGAGTTCTGGTCAGAGTAGCACGGTCTCTGAGTCCTCCTTCTGGAGTCCCTCTGGTCCCATTTGAATTGAGGCCCCATGATTTTTATTTGATTCTTTCTAAAATAACTGATGAGTTAACTGAAAGTGAACATCCATATTTTCTTGTGTATTGTGTTATGTCCTTCCCAGTGCATGCAGATACACACACCCCCTCATACTCCCACATACACACAGTCTCTCCCATAGACACTCTTGGAATCTCATGTGATTTTAAGTAGTAAACACATTCCATGGTTGGGAGGGGAAAGAATAAACCAGTCTCATCAAGGACCAAATTGTAAAACAAAATTTGTTCTTTTCTCTGTATGATGAAGTGCTAATTTTGCTTTGATTAACTTTAATAGAACTTTGTCAAGGAAAGAAGAGACTAAGACACTTAGTGTGTAGTGCTTTCCTCCTCCCCTCCCCTTTGCTTTTTGTATTTCTCTCTGATTTTCCTCTTCTGATCACTGCAGTCGGTTATGGGGTTGGAGTGCCGACGGGTTAGCGAAGCACCCACCTCCCTTTTCTCAGCCTAACTCCATCCCCACCGCTCCCTCCCACAAGGCTCTCAGGCGCTCTTACTCTCCCAGGTAACAAGCTACCTGTCAAACTTGTCTGAGGTGTCACAATATTATTGCGTGTCCAAGGTCGTCTCAGGTCTTTGGGAAAGCCTCTAAGCTGCCTCCGGTGTGGTCCCTTTCTTGGTGTCACATGGCAGGAGTAGAGCCTTGGTGAGAAGTGTGAGCAGGTGTGTGATCTTTGCCAAATCTCACAAGTACGGTTCCTGCTGTGTCACAGGGACAGATGACCCTTTATAACCTGATCAGATTCATCACCGCCCACTATCGTGGGCCTTTCTGTACAGTGCAGTGCTCAGCCCCCAGAAAGAGCTCAGGAAATGCTGTGAGGTCAGCGTGGGCAATAGTGGGAGCAGTTTCCTTAGCATGTGTCTAAAGTGCAGAAGTCATTCCCCTGAGAAGCCAGGAGACCTACTCTTTCCCAAACCACACCTCTCACTCTCAGCCATGCTATTGACTATATATAACTGATTTCTTTCCTAATATACTGTCATATGAGGGTAATCTGAGCACACACATCCAGAAAGGAACCCCCACGAGGCAGGATAACTGTTTTAGCTCACTAAGGATGCCCTGCCTCTAGGAAGGAGAACTGTCAGTCACCTCATGCACCCCCACAGTTGATGCCGAGTGCAGCATCATGGACACTGGTTATGCAACAGTTATTTATGAGTCTGGAAGACGGGGTGGGCTTCCCTCAGATACTGACAGATGGTAAATCTGTGGTACAAAGAAGGGTCCACATAGTACTGCACATGTCTATTTCAGGGTCTCTTGGGGATGCTTTTTATAAGGTCCGAAGATCAGAGAATCTCTTCCCTAGAAACCTGTTAGAGCACCGGGCAGTCCAGCTGTCATTGTGCTTTGTGAGATGAGTTTCTACCCTCTATGATAGAGGGTGTGATAGGAAAAGGGTTTAAAAAAACAAAAAACAAACAAAAAAAATGGTCTGTTACTTTTGAAATGTTTCATAGATAGCTTTTGCACAGATTTGTATTCTGACTTTTGTGGAATACAAATAATCTACATAGTGAAGCCAAAAACAGTAAATGAAATATTTTAACAACACCTTCCTTTTGAAGCTCTTATACCTCTAAAAGTCATTTCTAAAGTGTACAGAGAACCCTGCAATGAATGTTTCTAGATACACAAGGTTAGGGCAAGCAGACGAGGAGACGGCTACTGTCTTTAATGTTAACAAAGCAGGTCACTCCTTTTTCTTTTTTTTAAGGTTAGCTGTGCCTCCAAGTGTAAGATCAGTTTGTTGACTATCTCCCAGTATGTTGACCCGTATGCCCTCATGGGCACTCAGCTTCACTGCCAGCCACACATCAGGATTATCCCTCCAGAGCACATCCCACTCCTAGGATCATCTTTCACATATGTACACAATAATACGTGTTGACCGAACTCATTAAGAGAGAATGCTTACTAAATGCTTACAACTTCTGTTGCCCTTTGGAGGCAGGGATAGTTGACTAGAGACTTCTACATTTAGAAAACCTATCAGTTACATAAAACTAAGAGGGAATCTATATGCCTGTTTCTTTGCTCTGTGCCAAAACCCTATTGATTCCATAACAAAGAATGACTATGCTTAATCTATACATTGTACCCTTTTCCTCCAAAATGACAAAGAAGGCAGACTTCTCTCTCCAGTTTCTCTCTCTTGGAGACCTGACCCCATGCCCTCCTCCCTCCCCACAACATGAATCCTTCAGCGGGCAAGCCCAGGGCCGCATTCAGCTTCCATGTTAGGTGGCATGGCCTGATGTAAGCCTAACCTTAGGTCAGTGACTATTGACTGATTAAGGAATTCTCCCTAATCTAAAAAACCCTAAGAGAGCCCTTCTGGAGTCTAACCAGAGTATTTACAGGTGATTAGGGCCTGACCTCTAACCCAAGCATTATGTCCTGGGGTTGTCTCCGGGCTGAAACAAGACAGGCTGTGGGGCAGATGGCAGACTGAGGTTTCCCCAGTTCTCTTCTCAGTCCACTTCTGAGGCCGTCCTGCGGCTCCCTCATATACCGCTTGTGAGGACATAATATCTACCTTCCTTGATAATGGCTTTCATGGGAAATTCCTTTTTCCTTTAAGTGAGAACTTAACAGATACTGATTTGGAAAACTACAAATCAAGCCAAAGCATAAAAATAGCAAAGAAAGTAGCATGGTCCATTTCCTCCTAGAGCTAAGCAGTTATGCCCCTCACCTGCAGCTCACTGTTTTAGCTTCATACCAAGGAGATACTTCAAACCTCAGGCTAGTGCGTCTAAAAGAAGACACCTTCGATTGTTCTTGGTTCTGCAAATGGTGCTCCTAAATTGGGAGTTTGAGTTGGTTTATTAATTCAAAGTGAGAAGGAGGAAATTACCTGGCAGAATCCTTTATTTTCTTATTCTAAAAAGAGGCTATTGTAATAGTGAAGTGATGTGATCTGAAATGAACTATTTTTAGGAAAGTTCAGGTTAAGAATAATGAGATGAATTATCTGAAAGCTGACATTATCTGAAGCGACATATGGAAAATAATATTGTGACATCCCTTAAAAAACTTGAACGTTCCGCCAGACTTCCTCTTGTCCATCCCATCGTTCTTTCAGTTTTTTGGATTTTTTTCTTTTGCATGGGCTATGCTGTTATTTTTGGTTGTTGTGATTAAAAGTATTTTAAGGCATTTTTTTTTTTTTACATCTTGTATATATATTTTTTGTTTGAGTCATAATACTCAGTCTTTATATATAAAAAATAGTGTACTGGCCAGATGTATAAATGCCTTGTCTGTACATGAGCTAGTATTGTGGTGTCCTCAGAAGGAGGAGGGGAGCCTCTGGCCCCTCGGTCCTGCCTTCCTCACGTCTAAGGAGTGTTGCCTCTTTGACAGACAGCCTTGTGAACATAGAAGAGGTTGAGATCTTAAATTCTGTTCAGATTTTTTATTCTACCTCCTATCAGTTGAGACATGGAATTTCAACAGCATACCTGTTCAAGGTTCACATTTCTTTTTGTTTGATGCTCAAGTCAATCTTCGAGTTGAAATTTTGTTGTTGTTGTTGTTTGTTTGTTTTTTTTGTGAACGCTCCAAATACAATTGGGTTATGTATTTTCTTTCATTCATCAGGAAAAGTGGGTTTTATCTGGGCCATATTTGCAATTCTAGACAAATAGCTCCCATCTTTGAGATTGTGGTTAGCTCTTGGGCTCTAGAACTTACCAGCCCTAGAAAACACTTGGATCATTGCAACATCAAGCCAGTAGAGATCTGGCCACTCCAAGTGAGAGCTCTCCAAATCTTACCTTGCTCATCTGCCCAAACCTTTTTTTTTTTTTTTTTTAGGGCAGAGTACTTAAGGAATATTTACTTAGTAAATATTCATCATTTTTACATTACAGGAAACTCACTTTGGGGGAATGTATACATGTATAGGATTGGTCGTGTAGGAAGGATGCTTAGTTTCTTTCAGTTACGACTCTCTTGAAGAACAGGAAGATTGCTTTTCTTTAGTCCTTAAACAATGTTGCATGCTTACTTATATACAGCCAAGGATTCTTTGCATGTCCCTAGCAATCCTCAGTGTAGCTCAGGACTGTTTTAAAAATTAAATTAGATGAATTCATCTGATCTTTTCTTGAAACGAGTGACATTGAAACTAAAAAATTTTTTTTAACTTGTCCTTGGTTGACTGTTGCTTCATGTTTTGCTTGCTTTATGCTGATATATCCATTCCATGCTTTTAAAACTTTTCTATTCTCAGGATGGTTTTTGTTCTGAGGATTCTCCTTGTTTCAGTGCACTTTCCAGACATCTAAAAGGCACTTGTTGACAAACTACAGTGCACCAAAAAGGATTGTTGGGCTTTTTTGCTTCATTTCATGTTTTGCTATGCCCAGTGTCTATAAAGACAGCAGTCAATAACACTTGTCCATGAACAACAAATATTTCTTGCTTTTATGAGGATTCTTAGATGTCTATCCAGGAATGTGACTTTTTATAAAATCTGCTTTGGTTATAAAACTCCAAATAGAAGCATGTAGAAGAGTCAGGCTCCTGGGTGAGATGATGTGTGAGTTAGACTTTCTGGGCCCGTTTGTAGGGTGGATCTGACTTTGAGTCTAGGATTGTTTTGTTTTTTTGTTTTTGTTTTTGTTTTTTTAATAGGGTTTTATTTGTTTTCTGGATTGGATACCTGGGAGTATAACCTTGTCTTGTGAGGTTATTTACTTTGCTCCTTTGAAATTTGCTTGTAGTACTAGCTTTATTTCCAACTGCCCATTCCTCTTAAGTTTGTACATTTGGGACCAGTAACAACCAAACTCCTTTTTTCCATCTTCAAAATAAGAAAGTTATTTTTCCACTTTCATTATCTCGTGCCTTCAGTCACCAGTGTCACTCTTTGAGTTGCTACATTCTCATGGTTACTGTTGTTTCCCACTGGTTTTTATTGAGTGCTGATGTAATGTGTTTGGCAGTTTTAACAAGGAAGATGTGTAATTGTCCGGTGGTGGTACTCTAACAAAAGATGCCTCCTTTTCATTCCAAATCACCCGATAAACAAAACTATAAATATGTCTTATTCTTTAAATTATGGGAAGTAACTTATGCCCACCTCTCAGTTCCATGTATGTGCCTCAGTTTAAGAAATAAATTATTTTTTATCTTTAGCATGCTGGACTATGATACAGAGAACCTGAACTCTGAAGAAATCTATAGTTCTCTACGTGGAGTTACAGAAGCCATTGAAAAGTTTAGTTTTCGAAGCCAAGAAGATCTGAATGAGCCCATTAAACGAGATGGCAAAAAGGAATGTGATATTGTAAGTATGCCTAGGCTAAAAGAGAACTCTGTATCAGTTAAATGACAGATAATGAGACTTCTGAACACTGAACATCATGATTACTGAGCTTCATCATTATTTTTTTCCTGTAGTTAAAATAATGTTTTCCTTTTCGTTTTAGTTGGCATGTAATAATTGTACACATTTATGAGCTACAAAGTGATACTTTGATACATGTGTAGAATGTATAATAATCAAGGTAATTAGTACATCCATCACCTCATTTATCATTCCTTTATGTTGGGAACATTGAAAAATTCTCTCTCCTAGTGTTTTGGAGGTACACAATAAACTGTTGTTAACTGTATTTACCCTACAGTACTATACAGCAGCAGTCCCCAACCTTTTTAGCACCAGGAACTGGTTTTGTGGAAGATAATTTTTCCACAGACTGGGCCACATGTTGGGAGGATGGTTTGGGGATGATTCAAGCACGTTACATTTATTGTGTACTTTATTTCTGTTATTACTATATTGTAATATATAATGAAATAATTATACAACTCATTATGATGTAGAATCAGTGGGAGCCCTGAGCTTGTTTTCCCGCAACTAGATGGCCCTGTCTGGGGGTGATGGGAGACAGTGACAGATCACCAAGCGTTAGACTCTCATAAGGAGCACGCAGTCTAGATCCCTTGCGTGTGCAGTTCACAACAGAGTTGACGCTCCTATGAGAATTTAATGCTGCCACCGATCTGACAGGAGGCAGAGCTCAGGCAGTAATGTGAGCGATGCGGGGTGGCTGTAAATAAGATGAAGCTTCACTCATTTGCCCACTGCTTACCTGCTGTGCTGCCCAGTTCCTAACAGGCCACAGACCAATACCAGTCTATGGCATGGGGGTTAGGGACTCCTGCTATAGAGGATTAGAACTTATTCCTCTTACCTAGCTGTAGTTTTGTAGCTATTAACCAGCCTCTTTTCCTCCCCCACCCCCACCTTTCCCAGCCTCTAGTAACCACAGTTCTACTCTCTACTTCTATGAGCTCAACTCTTATTAGTTCCCATAAATGAGTGAGAATATATGATTTTGGTCTTCATGTACCTGACTTTTTTCACTTAACATAATGTCCTCCAGTTCATGCATGTTGCTGTGAATGATAGGCTTTCATTTCTTTTTATGGCTGAATAGTATTCCATTGTGTATATATGTCATATTTTCTGTATGCATTCATTTGTTGAGGGACACTTAGGTTGATTCTGTATCTTGGCTGTTGTGAATAGTGCTATAACAAACATGAGGGTGTAGGCTTCTCTTTGATATACTGATTTCCTTTTCTTAGGATAAATTCCCAGTAGTGGAATTGTTGGTTGTACGGTAGTTCCATTTTTAGGTTTTTGAAAAACCACTGTTCTGTTTTCTATAATGGCTATACTAATATACATTCTCACTGATGGTATATAAGAACTTCATTTTCTCCACATCCTCACCTTTGTTATTTTTTGTGTTTTTGATAATAACCATAAAATAGTAGTAAGAGGCCCAAGGTAATTAATTTTACAAAATTTCAATTTCCAAAGAGTAGCCCTCAGCTATCTTTTCAAGGAATGTTAAGTGCCTGTTTTCTCAGTTTGCTTTTGTTTATTCTGGACATAGTTATGTTTCATGATGTAATAAAAATAGTGAGCCTGAACCAGACACCACCATGGCTTTCTGAGAGCTCCAGTCTCATGGGAGAGGCAGACAGATAAGCACAAGATCCTGGTGCAGTGAGTATGGCCACTGCTCAGCATCCAGGAGACCCGTGGCTAGTTGTGGTACCTAGGGAGGATGTTGTATTAGTCGGTTCTCACACTGCTATAGAGAACTACCAGAGGCCGGGTGCGGTGGCTCACACCTGTAATCCCAGCACTTTGGGAGGCTGAGGCAGGCAGATCACAAGGTCAGGAGATTGAGGCCATCCTGGCCAACATGGTGAAACCCCGTCTCTACTAAAAATACAAAAATTAGCTGGGTTTGGTGGCGCACACCTGTAGTCCCAGCTACTCAGGAGGCTGAGGCAGGAGAATCACTTGAACCCGGGAGGCGGAGGTTGCAGTGAGCCTAGATCACCCCACTGCACTCCAGCCTGGCAACAGAGTGGACTCTGTCTCAAAAAAAAAGAAAACTACCAGAAACTAGGTAATTTATAAAGAAAAGAGGTTTAATTGACTCACAGTTCCACAGGTTATACAGGAGTTGTGGCTGGGAAGGCCCCCGGAAACTTACAGTCATGGTATAAGGGGAAGCAAGCATGTCGTCACATGGTGACAGGAGAGAGACAGTGAAGAGAGAAGTGCTGTACAGTTTTAAACAACCAGATCTGGTGAGAACTCACTATCATAAGAACAGCAAGGGGGAAGTCCACCCCCATGATCCAGTCACCTCCCACCAGGTCCCTCCCCCAACACTGGAAATTCCAGTTTGACATGAGATATGGGTGGGGACACAAAGCTAAACCATATCATTCTACCCCTTGCCCCTCCCAGATCTCACGACCTCACATTTCAAAACACAGTCATGCCTTCCCAACAGTCCTCCAAAGTCTTAACTCATTCCCCCATTAACTCAAAAGTCCAAGTCCAAAGTCTAATCTGAGACAAAGCAAGTCCCTTCCAACTATGAACCCGTAAAATAAAAAACAAATTAGTGACTTCCAAGATACAGTGGAGCTACAGGCATTAGGTAAATGCTCCCATTCCAAAAGGGAGAAATTGGCCACAACAAAGGGACTACAGGCCCCATGCAAGTCTGAAACCCAGGAGGGTAGTCATTAAATCTTAAAGCTCCAGAATAATCTCCTTTGACTACATGTCTCACATCCAGGACACACTGATGCAAGGGGTAGGCTCCCAAGGCCTTGGGCAGCTCCACCCTTGTGGCTCTGCAAGGTACAGCCCCTACAGCTGCTTTCATGGGCTAATGTTGAGAGCTGTTGGTGGATCTACCATTCTGGGATCTGGAGAACTGTGGCCCTCTTCTCACTGCTCCACTAGGCAGTGTCCCAGTGGGGACTCTGTGTGGGGGCTCCAACCCCACATTTCTCCTCTGCACTCCCCTAGTAGAGGTTCTCCATGAGGGTTCTGCTCCTGCAGCAGACATTTGCCTGGACATCCAGGCATTTCCATACATTTTCTAAAATCTAGGTGGAGGCTCCCAAACCTCATTTCTTACCTTCTGCATACCCACAGGCCCAACACCACATGGAAGCCACCAAGGCTTGGGGTTTACACCCTCTGAAACAACAGCCCAACCTGTACTTTGGCCCCTTTCAGCCATAACTGGGGCTGGAGCAGTTGGGATGCAGAGCACCATGTACCAAGGCTGCACAAAGCAGCAGGGCCCTGGGCCTGGCCCACAAAACCATTTTTCCCTCTTAGGTCTCCAGGTCTGTGATGGGAGGGACTGCCATGAAGCTCTCTGAAATGTCCTGGAGACGTTTACTCCATTGTCTTGGCTATTCACATTTGGCTTTTAATTACTTATGCAAATTTCTGCAGCCTTGAATTCTTTCCCAAAAATGAGTTTTTCTTTTCTGCTGCCTGGTTGGGCTGCAAATTTTCCAAACTTTTACCCTCTGCTTCCTTTTTAAATATAGGTTCTAGTTTCAGGTCATTTTTTTGTTTGTGCAAATGAGCAGAGGCTTTTAGAAGCAGCCAGGCCACATCTTGAACACTTTGCTGCTTAGAAATTTCTTCCACCAGATACCCTAAATCATCTCTCTCAACTTCAAAGTTCTACAGATCTCTAGAGCAGGGGCACAGTGCTGCCAGTCTCTTTGCTAAAGCATATCAAGAGTGACCTTTACTCCAGTTCGTTATCTTCATCTGTGACCACCTCAGCCTGGACTTCACTATCCATATCACTATTAGCATTTTGGTCACAACCATTCAACAAGTCTCTAGGAAGTTTCAAACTTTTCTTTCATTTTCCTGTCTTCTTCTGATCCCTCCAAATTGTTTCAACCTCTGCCCATTACCCAGCTCCAAAGTTGCTTCCACATTTTCAGGCATCTTTATTGTAATACCCCACTTCTGGTACCAATTTTCTATATTAGTTCTTACACTGCTATAAAGAACTACCTAACACTGGGTAATTTATAAAGAAAAGAGGTTTAATTAACTCACAGTTCTACAGACTATACTGGAGGCATGGCTGGGGAGGCCTCAGGAAACTTACAGTCATGGCAGAAAGGCAAAGGAGAAGCAGGTAGGTCTTCACATGGTGGCAGGAGAGAGAGAGCAAAGGAGGAAGTGCTACACACTTCTACACAGCAAGGTCTTATGAGAATTCACTCACTATCATGAGAACAGCAAGGGGGAATTCCGCCCCCATGATCCAATTACCTCCCACCAGGTTCCTCATTGAATATTGGAAATTGCAATTTGACATAAGATTTGGGTGGGAACACAGAGCCAAACCATATCAGATGTGCAAAAGAGAGGATGTCGTCACCTCTGAACTGAAGCCTGGAGGTCCAGAGGAGTTTGTCAGGTTGAGTAGGAGGGTTGTAGTAAGAGGAGGGCCTGTTCGAAGACTAAGACATGGCCGTGGGCATGGTGTGATTTCCTGTTTGAAGTGGATGAAGTGGAGAAGACTGGGCATGAGGAGTGGTTGGGGAGATTCAGAGCAGAGCTGCAGAGGCCAGCTCAGGAAGGATGTGCTCACTGGGGTATTCCCAACCAATGCTCTGACTTTAAACCCTGGTGATATTAGAGTCATTGAAGGATCTTTAAGCAGCGAAGTGGCATAGTCATACTTATATTTTAGACAGGCTACTGTTAACTTTGGAATGGAGAATAATTCAGGAGGAAGTGGGGTTGAATAGGGCATGAGCAGAAACAAGAATCAGAAGTCTTCTGGGGCTATTGAGCAAATGCTAGTGCAATTCAGTGAAATATTACTCTAGAAGGAGATGCTGTCTTTGAAATACAATGAATGCTCTTTTGAATACATGCAAATTGCAGAAATTGTGGAATATCTAAGCAAATATATCCATCAGGACTTTGGATATACCAGTCTGTTTCAGCCAGTGATTCAGGCTGAAGTTCGATATTTGAGAGATATTGATTAGTTGCTTGAATATAACTAAAGAAAAGTGAGTAAGTGAAATCACCAGGTAAAGGATAAGGACAGAATCCTAAGAAGCATCAGCACTAAGGGAAGGACAGAAGCTAGAGCTGACAGGAGGGAGACCAGGAGAGGGTAGTGCCATAGAAGATAAGGGAGACTATTTCAGGAAGGACATTCTAGCCAAAGGGGCCATGCTGCAAAGAGATAACGGGTCACATATGAAATGAAAGGGCTCCATTGGATTATTTGTTTATTATCCACGTTAAATGTTCTATTTTAACCTAAAAGATATAAAATACACATTTACTTGCCAACGTTTTGATGTAAAGTTAAGACCTTTCCTTTGAGAATAGACTCACTGGACTTCCATGTTTTTTCTTCTTAAATAAACTTTACACGTAGTTACAGTCTGCAATATCCAAATTTAGTTTCTTCCAGGAGTACATTGGCTCTTGTGAGCATAGTTGAGTGCAGGGTTGAGAATGGAAACCAGATCACGGTGGACGAAGACGTTGAGGAACAAACTGGAGAGAAATGAGGATCACAGGGCATTTCAGATGGGAAAGATGTCTCCCAGCAGGGCCGGTGGAGAGAAGCACCTTGTCTACACAGCGGAGGGGAGCAGATGAGTGGATGCAGATCCTTTGGGATGTGGGGATCCGAGGTTAGGACCCAGGTGGAATGACTGGTCTTAGCTAGGGAGGAGGGCAGCTTTAGGGGCTTGAAGCAGGAAGTAGAGCGTCTTCCCACTGCTGGTTTCCCAGGGCAGTGGAAGGAGGCCTGCTTTGAAGCGGGGGACTTGTGAGGAGTGTGAGGAATGGAACAATCTGACTAGGGAAACAGAACTCCTACCAAGAACAGTAGAAAAGGTGGATGCATGAGGGGTTACTTTTTCCAGTTATGGTGGCTCACGCCTGCAATCCCAGCACTTTGAGAGGCCAAGGCGGGTGGATCACCTGAGGTCAGGAGTTCAAGACCATCCTGACCAACGTGGTGAAACCCCATCTCTACTAAATACAAAAAATTAGCCAGTCGTGGTGGCACATGCCTGTAATCCCAGCTCCTTGGGAGGCTGAGGCAGGGCATTGCTTGAACCTAGAAGGCGGAGGTTGCAGTGAGCCAAGATTGCACCATTTGCACTCCAGCCTGAGCAACAAGAGCGAAACTCTGTCTCAAAAAAAAAAAGAAAGAAAATCGAAGAATGAAGGAGCTTCAAAATTGACTTAGCCACCACTTACCATATTTTTAGCTAAAACATTGAGGTGAATATAAAACTGTGTTAAATGTGAAAGATTCGGGAGCCAGTACAGCTCCTCTTAAGCCTAACAAGGAAACCAAATCTAGGGAGACAAGCCATAGGATGAATGTCAGATGCAGTAGGAGGGTGGTGCACACAGCAAAAATGAAGACATTCAACATAGGGAGAAAGCCCATCCTTATGGTCACTTACAGAAATACAGCAGACTTATATCAAGGTTCCCTTCTGCTCTGCTTTAATAGAAATTATAACATTTAATACTAGAAAGAGTATAAGGATCTAGTGTAATGTTGGTGCGATGGGAAATTGATACAATGTTTTGGAACTCAGCAAAATTATATTTAGCAAAAGTGATTTGCATATTCTTTACCCAGTATGGTTAGTCTACACTAAAGAAAGAACTCAACAGAAGAAAAAAATATATATGTCATTTCCATAAGGTAGCTTATTTCAGCATTATCTACAGTAGCAAAAATATTAAAGGGGAACATCTGAGTAAATCTTTTTAAAACCCAAGTAGAGGTAGTGGTGTGATTAAACATGGTGGGTACAAAAACTTCATCCACGTGGGAAATGCTTGCACTGTAAGGAAAAAAAAACAGAAGGCAGCGTGCACACAGGATTCCTGCTGTGCAAAGCCTGCGTGGAGACACACACTGAGGTAGTAAGGTTTTGTTGTTAACAGTGATTAGAATTGGGAGTTGAGCTTTATTTTTAAAATGTCTGAAGTTTTTAAAACCTTTCTCTTTTTTTGTTGTTTTTTTTAAACCTCCTGTTCAATGGCTTACCTTTTTCTTTTATAAATAATTTTTCATTATAATAGTAGTATTTTTAGAAGACGTATAAAAAGAAGCAATTAAAACCATCCGTGAATTTTCTTCCACCCAGAGAAAACCTCTGTTAAGATTTGATTTATACCTTTTTAGTCTTAATTTGTTTCTGTCTATGCATATATTATGAATTCTTTTTACATCTTAATTAATATAAAATTTTGTTTGTGGGTGTTAAAAACCAAATGCATCCTAGCACCTCCACTAGATTCAAGTCCAAAAGAATTGAAAGCAAGGACCTGAACAGATATTTGTGCACCATTGTGTCGTAGCAGCATTATTCACAAGAGCCAAAAGGCGGAAGCAACCCAAGTGCCTATCAGCAGATGAACAGATAAACAGAATGTGGTATATACACACAGTGGGATGTGCTCAGCAATTCCACTTACCTGAGGTACCTAGCATAGGCAACCTCCGAGAGACAAAGTAAAATAAAGTTTATCAGGGATTGTGGGGAAGGGAGAGGGATGAGGATGCAGGGTTTTTGTTGGGGATGATGAGAAAGTTTTGGGTATATATAGTGGTGATGGTTACATATCATAAATGTATTTAATGACACTGAATTATATACTTAGGAATGATTAAAATGATATGTTACATCTACTTTTCTTTTACAACCAGAAAAAAGTGTAAATGCATTAGCACAAGTTGAGAGAAATGTATCCTGTCATCAGCACAAGTAAAAATTTTGCCATAGGTGTCACCGACGTGTTCTGGCTGCCTGGAATGTTTCCACCGTTGTTGGATAGTCAGATGCCTGGGATGAGGAAAACAGTCTGGCCCCGTTGCCAGCACCAGCCCACACCCGCTGGGCTACACTGCCACCTGCAAAGGGGCTAGACCAGTGGTGTGCCCCATGTGAGAGGACCCTAAGAGTAAAAGTGATTTGCTCTTGTCAGTACCATGGCAAGGGGCCAGTCAGAGGGCCAGCGGTTGAATTTGTTGAAGACAACATTCAGAATATACTAGCAAAGAAAAACAAAATTCGGAAGATACTAAAGACCTGTTCTTTGACCCAGCATAACAACTCTGAGTCAGAAATATCTAAAAGAAGGATGGTATGCCTAGGAGGTGCTGAGTTCTCTGTCACAGGAGGTTGTGACACATTGAGGCCCAGCACTAGGCAGGAATACATAGAGTACAAGGAATTAATTTGGGGATGGATGACACCCATTCGACTTAATGATGGCAGTTGGAAGAGCTTCTGTCTGTGGATGTGGGCAGGGCCGCAGTGCAAATCCCCCATTGCTGATCTGGTCCTTGAGAGCCGGGATGTGAGTGGACAGCCTTTCCTTCTCAAGGAAAGGCTTCTGAGCCTTTCATCCCTCAGGAAACGTCTTGGTAAAGTGAATCACCAAATTACAAAGTAAAGGAGATTTGAAGTGTAAAGACTAGATGCAAATGCAAGCATATTGTTCCTTTTATGGTAGTTTATGGATTTGGTATTTTTGCACTGCAATACTAATAGCTGTCCTTTTGTCACTGGCCATACATATTTCAAGTGAAAATCTCTGGCCCTCTTAATATTTCTGAGCTTTCAAAGGAAATGTCCATTATAAGTCCCAGAAGGTAACTGACAGTGTGCTGTGCTCCAGGTGTCCCGCGATGGGGGTGCTGCCTCCCCTGCCACCAGCGAGGTAGAAGGAGGCCGGACAGCTCTGGATAACAAGACCTCGCTACTCAACACCCAGCCTCCACGCGCCTTCCCAGGACCGCGGGCACGAGACTACAACCCGTACCCCTACTCAGATGCCATCAACACCTATGACAAGACTGCCCTGAAAGAGGCTGTGTTTGATGACGACATGGAGCAGCTTCGAGATGGTTGGTGTCTCTTTGCTTAACTGTCCCCACCCAGAAGTGCTTCCCTTGTGCTCCCTCCTGTCTGGCCAGTACCAGGCCCACTGGTCAGATGTAAATGGAGACGCTGGGTCTGTTCTTTCTGCTTAGTCATTTGTTCAGGCACTACTTACTGAATCCCTACTGTGTGCTTAGGCACGGGGAACACGGCAGTGAACAGAAGCACAAGTGGCAGGGCAGTGAGGAAATAAACAGTCACACATGATATGAAGTAGCCACTGCCACAGCTGAGCATGAGGGAAGGCCAAACTCTACCATCAGGGAGGCTCTGCTGCAGAACCCAGGGCCCAGGCAAGCCAGGGGTGTAGGAACAAACAGGATGGCGAGCACGGGCTCAGCCTTTGTGAAGGCCTTGGACCTGCGCTTCCCAGCTCCCCGAGCTGTGGAGTGAGATCCTGAAGCACCGCTCCGAGGCTTCCCTCTCCTCTCACACCTGCTTTGTAACCAGGTCTTCCTGGAGCTGTGTTGACCTCCGTGCTGCATTTGGGAGGCAGGGGTTTGACGTACACTGACCACTTGCATTACTGTGTCTGGTGCTAAGCTAAGCGTGGGGTCAGAAAGATTTGCCCAAAATGTAACGTAAGCATATAACATAGGAAGTAGGGAGCAGAGCCAGAACTTTCTTTCTGGCTCCTTTGTTAAGACCAGTGTCCATTATTGAATAAACTAGTGAGTGATGAGTATGTATTTGTACGACGGTATTTTTATCCAAAACTTAATTATTTGTTTTTTCATCTCTCATGTTACATGATTTGGTTTATTTCAATCTGATAGTGCTTTTAAAAAATTATGGTTTTGAGGCCTGTTTATTTCTCAAGCTTGAATGAGTAATTAGAACCTACATTAGAATTCTAAATAGTTAAAATTCACTGAGGGCCTACTGTGTGTCATGAAGTGTATGGGTTGCCAGGGACCGAGGCACAGGAGACACAGTCCCTGGCCTCAGAGAGCTCACGGTCTGTCAGGGAAGTAGACTGATAGTGGTCACACTAGTACCAGAGAAGGCCTGTGCTGGAGGCAGATGCCAGATCCAGTGGGGGCCCAAAGAAGAGAAAGCGGATCCTCTTGCAGGGATCAGATAGTAGGGGAATGCTAAGATAGAAGAGAAGTTCTCTGTTTGAAAGCAGAAGTGGCTGTAGGGATGAAAAGCTGAATCACTTGGCTATTAATTGCTTATGGGCTGGTGGGTAGCGTCTCAGACTCTGCCACACTCTGCTTACTGGGCAGTGAGCGAATAGGGTGTAGTGTTTGTAAGGACTGGCACTTCTTGGGAGAAGTGGACTACTTGTTTTCATTGCTTATAGAATTGTTTACCTTATCCTTGATAGATCTCGGTTAAGGTAGAAATTACAATGTTAGTTATTCACCAACTGTTTACTAAAAGGCTTAAAGAAAAGGAGAAAAAGGTAGGAAGGCAGGAGGAAGTGACAGAGTTCTTTACCGTTTCAGGCTTTCTTGTGTGTTTGCTACCCCATCTTAGAAGCTAAAGAAGTATGCAAATACACGTTTAAGTAGTTCCTAATAACTTCTCTGATGTGTTTGTTTTTTCATCCTCTCTATTTAAAGTTGAATATTCAGAGTTGAGGTTTCTTAAAAGAACATGGAGGAGAAAGGATGTGCCTTTCTGCCATAGAAACCATGTTCACAGCCCTGCAGGTAACTATGTGGAGTCATCTTGGGCCAGTTTTTAGTCTCCACATAGATAGTCCACCAGTAGTCCAAACACCTTGATTGGTGTTTGTTCACCATGCTGGTTCCTAAGCTATAGACATTTGAGAAGGGAATGGATGATAATCAGATGTGATGGTGAGGAGGCCTTGAGGAATATGTGTGTATGGGAGTGGATTTGACCCTGGTAAAAGGCTGTCCAGTGGTGGGGCTGACTCAGGACCATGGCAGTGGGAGAGAGTTTTGGAAAATAAGAGGGTTGAAAAGGGACTTTGGTGGATGCAGGCATTTCTCCTCTCTGTCTGAAGTAGAAGGGAAAAGATAGCAAGGAAGGGTGAAGACGTTGACTGTTGGTACTGGACAGCTGGTCTCGCACCTCTGCTTTCACAGTGAACTTGGTGAGAAGGTTGGTGGAGGGTGTGGTGAGAAGGTTGGTGGAGGGTGTGTAGGCTGAGGCCGGACAGTGAAGCGGAGTGGAGGGTGGGAGGGGAACCATGAAGGAGGCGTCGCCTCTGGGAGATGAGGCAGGAAGGGAAGGATCACTGGGCACCACTGAGGAAGCCCCTGTGCCGGGCATTTCCTCACGAGGTGACGTATGTGTGGTGTGTTTCACCAGTGCCCATCGACCATTCTGACCTGGTGGCTGACCTTCTGAAAGAGCTGTCCAACCATAACGAGCGAGTGGAGGAACGGAAGGGAGCCCTGCTGGAGCTGCTCAAGATCACGCGGGAAGACAGCCTGGGTGTCTGGGAGGAGCACTTCAAGACCATCCTGCTCCTGCTGCTGGAGACCCTCGGAGACAAAGACGTGAGATGCTGGTTTGGCCTTACCTTGCCCCTTTCCGTGTCATGGGGTCATGATGTCCTTTTCTTGCTGGACTTGGCTTCAGCTTTACTTTCTGGGTTGTGCTTACTGTTTACATCAAAACACGTATTTGTTCATTTTTCACATATTTTCTGAGCACGTTTAGTAAGGTCATGTTTTTATCAGCAACAAGCTGCTTCTTGGCTTACGTGCATGGTCTGCAACTGGGTTTATAGTAGTTGAGGGAACCTCGTTCCTGCATCTAGTTGCTTTAACACAGAATTTCTTAAAACTTCATTAGCATAGAATGTGGTCTTTTAGGATACACTTTTTCACTTGTGAGTTTGATTTTTGTTTCATATGTAATTGAGAAATAAAAAGGTCCATTTTAAAAGACCTAATTAAATGCTACATTCTATGAAATTCCATCTTGGTTCCCCCCTACATATATGTTAAGAGTTCCAATAATTTCAATCAGTCAAGTGGCAGGCTCCAGAAGCATGATTCTGATTTTTGTATTATTAATTTTAAAATAAAAAAGCTTCATTATGCTGGGACATTTGAATGTGACAAACTAGGCATTTGTGACATGCCTGGTCTGTGATCTGCACATCGCACATAGAGAACTCTTAAAAGGGGGAGTAATCTGGTCAAAGTCCTGCCTTCTCCCACCTGTGGAGCTGGTCCCTTATATGGAAACAGGAATAGATGCTGGGAATTACCAGAATTAAACCTCTGCAAGAAAAACTTTCTCCATCCACACTGGCTTTGTGTAGGCCAGCAGAAATGAGAAGAGAGTGCTGTGGTGAGGGGCTGGAGGAGGGGGATGGGAGGATTGCCAGGAGGTGACAGGCCATGCCCACGGCCAGCTAGAGGGGACTTGCATGGCCACCGAGTGACAGGGAGGCTGCTGCGTGCCATGCTGTGGAGACTCAGATAGCTTTCTGATGCTTCGGATTAATAGTTTGGTTTAGGGATAAGTAAAGATAGAAGAATGGTAATAAGTAATCTGTTTCACCTTTTTTTAAAAAAAAACTTCTTAAAAATACTTTTTAAAAAAGACAAAGTATTGGCTCGTAAGGCAGTTAATGCCTTGTTGGCTCTGTTGGGAGACAAAGTGATGTCATGTAGAAGACAGGGAAAATGGTGTATTAGTGTGTGAATTGTACAGATGAGTGACAAAGAATCAGGATGTACTTTCTGGCTCTGTTTGGTGTAAACTCCTTTCTCTTTTATTGAGATTAGGAGTCTGTTTGGAATGGCTTTCCTCCAGATGCATGACTCTGGCCTTAACCAACTTGAGGCCTCTACACACCCAGTGATCTCATCACATGGAAGGTCAGGAATAATGACAGGCCTTCCACTGTCCTTAGGTGGAGTTCAGTCTTACAGGCTGTGTTGATGAAACATCCAGGTGCTTTGTACACATTCTTTCATACATTTTACAGAAGCATAATTTGTAGGCTGAAGCCTCAGGAAATCTGAAAATCCCCAGAAAACTGGTAATGAACTTAGGTGTATCATCCTCATTTGGTCTCGAGTGCACGGCTTGTTCGAGAAGCTTTTTTCAATGCCTGTCAGGCGCTGGGTCCTGGGAATGTCACCCTAAGGCACAGTGCCTGCCTTCATGGAGCTGATGTCTAGAGAGCCAGTGTCAAGTAAAGCTGATTTCAAGTAAACCATGTGATCTGTGTAGAGGGTTCTGCAAGGTTCCGGGGAACCCAGAACTGGGTGCTTGGCCTTGCCGAACCTGCTGACTGCCGTGTGTGAAAGTGCGGTGTGGTGTTTGGTGATGTCTTCCTTTCCCCTTGTACTCTAGCATTCAATTCGAGCACTGGCATTGAGAGTTTTGAGGGAAATTCTGAGAAATCAACCAGCAAGATTTAAAAACTACGCCGAGCTGACAATTATGAAGACTCTGGAAGCCCACAAAGATTCCCATAAGGAGGTGAGTCAGTCACGTGTCCGGGGGTGCTGAACAGGCGGGTCATGGGGAGCTGCTGGGATGTGGAGATAGAGGAATCAGAATCAGCCCATGGCTTAAGAGCCCCTTCCTTGGGTCTCGGCCATGTCGAGTCCCATTGCGGTCGTCCTTGTTGAGCAGTGGCGCAGTTCCAGGGCCAGTGCCATTTGTTCAGTTCCCAGCTCCTTCTCGCTGTTTCCAACAGGCCTGCCCTGTCCCTGAGACGTGTTCCACGCCTGGGCTTCCGGCTGCCTTTGTGGGAGGGAAGGGTCTGCTGCTGCTTTCTGGCATTTAGCCCCTAGTAGTCTGGTGTGGGAGGTGGAGACCAGCTTTGGAATCGCAGACGTGCAAGTCCCAGAACCAATGCCTCCTTGCTCCAAATATGTGGACCAGTCATTTCACTTTCTGAGCCTCCGTTTCCTTGTGTGTAAAACAGGAATGGATATTTCCACAGAGTTTTTCATGAGAATTAAATGAGACGGCCAGGGGTGGTTCCAGCCCAGCTCCTGCCAACAGCGGGTAGCACGCTGCTGTACTGACCTTCCTCCCTGCCGGCATTCAGTGTGCTTCTCTCTGCAAGATGAGGCTGAGTGGAGGCAGCCCTGCTGTGCCCCTTCCACTCGCTGTTGAGTATTTAAAACGCTAGCAAGCCATCTCTGCAGTTCCTGGCATTGGGACGTCAGCTGCCTGGTAGAGAGCAGCAGAACATGTCTCTGTATCCTGCACACGTGCCATGGAGGGTGCACACTCAGCAGAAACTCAGCCTGTTACTTACTGGATTGTCCAACCCCTGTGCCTCACCAGGCTTTCAAGTAGCTAGAAGCCTGCAGAGAATGGGGAGGTGGCTGGAGCTGTCCTGATACAAATGATTCAGTGACACCCTTCAGTAAAATGAACTGTGGGAAACAAAATCATATATTGGAACTTCAGAAAACAGCCTGCCAGATAATGGGTTTGACCCCAAAGTGAGACATAACTACTTGCCCGGTTTGATCTCTTGGCTCATGTGTGACTGTCATGTGAGCACACTCATGGATTAAGGGAATTGTAATCAACACAATTCTTCCATCTACATAGAGAGACCGTAGATCATAGTTCTGTTTGGCATTTGTGTGGCTGCCTGAGCAGGGACTGATGTGACCTCTTCAAAACTCCACCACAATTGTAGCTCAGCAAGGGCGAAGGTCTTGTCCTCAGACTGGGCCTCTCTCCACCTGCTAGTCCTAGAAAACAGCACACAGTACACAGGGGATGGATGTGTTTTCAGACTAATGACTGGGTTTCCAAAATCTGGCTTGGTTGCATGATGGCGATAATCACTCACATTTGAACAAAGCACTTTTCATTTATAATAACTCATTTAAAAAACGTGAAGACCAGGTGAGCTGGTACGATCAATATAGTGATTCCCAGGTGAGGAGGGAAGGTCCTAGATTAGGGGGGTCCAATCTTTTGGCTTCCCTGGGCCGCATTGGAAGAATTGTCTTAGGCCACACATAAAACGCACTAATGATAGACGATGAGCCTTAAAAAAAAAAAAATCACAAAATACTTTCATAATGTTTTAAGAAAGTTTTTGAATTTGTGTTGGGCTGCATTCAAAGCCGTCCTGGGCCACGGGTTGGACAAGCTTGTCCTAGAGGAACTGTATGCACAGCAGTTACTGGCAGAACTGAGATATAGCTAGGTTTTGTGTCTCCTTTAAGGGGCAGCTGGCATTTGCTAACTTTTTAAAACCATAATTGCTTCTCCTTCATGAGAATACATGATCAAAAAATGAAATTAAAATGTTCTTTTTGTTTTGCTTTGTTTTTGAGACAGGGTCTTGCTCTGTCACCCAGGCTGGAGTGCAGTGGCACAAGCTGTGCTCACTGTAACCTCCACCTCCCAGGCTGAAGCAGTCCTCCTGCCTAAGCCCCCCGAGTAGCTGGGACTACAGGCATGAGCTACCACACCCGGCCTGATGTTCTTTTACATAGAGATGATATCAGTTGTTTTCATGGGGCAGTACATACTTAGACTTGGGCATTTAAATGAAACGCCAGGCCGTCCGTGGTGTCTTGGCACGCACTTACTGACTCTCCAGTTGGAAGATATCTATCTAAAGTGAGTCCTAAGAAGTATAAGTTAACAACATTAAGTAATGGATTTGTTATTTGCTGTTTTCTTGGAAGATCTTTTGTTTTTTTCTGTAAAATTAGAAATTTAGGAGAGAAAATTCTCAGGTATGAGGCCCTTTAAATTGCCCAAGGGAAAAGAGCAGAACATATGTCCTGCTTAACATAAACTTAGCAGCACTCAGGTTCAGGGGCCTCCATGCTGCCGTTACTGACTTGTGGTAGAGCCGGTGGAGGAGATGTGTTGGGAACGGTGCCTGCATTGGCAGGCCTTCCTGCTTTGCATAGTTTGACTCACCTTGACTCATTGCCCTTGGAGTTTCCTTATAAAACTTTACTCTGTCACTTTGCCAGGAGCCACTATAATAACTCAAGAATCTGTATATTTAGGTTTGGGGTTGGGTTTTCCTTTTTCGTTCCTTTTTTTTCTTTTCCCTTGAAGTTCTTAGCTTCCTCTTATTTTAACCAATCTTTTTCCATTCCTTCTTGCTGTTTTTTTAGGGCAGAAGGCTGAGATGCGCATAAAGTTTGTGTTGTAGGCATCTTGTTGGCACATAATTGTTCTCTAGTCCTTCCATTTTCTCACCATTGTATTCAATTCTTACGACTCCAAACATTTATTGAAAAGGATCTGAAATGTTTCTAGACTTACTTTATTAGTCATACAAAGACATAGTCTATTTTCCTGTCTTACTAATACTTCCAAAGTATATTTATCCCAGAGTGAGCTCTCTTGGAACTTCCTTCTCAATAAGAAGCTAGTTGGTTTTGTATTCCCAGACAAAAACTGGGCTTCAGCAGGAGATGAAGAGCATAAAGACTCGGCAGGTTAACATGGGGCTGCTTGTAGAGACACTGGCACCAGCTGCCCTGCTCTTGCCAGCGTGATGTTACCACACCAGCACGTGCACTGCGGCTCTGACTGTGTGACTGCAGTGAGGAAGGACAGCTTCTTGAAATACAATTTCTGTAAACTGAAATTTGTCACAAAAACTATTTGGGAAGATGGATGAGGTAGGACTGATGATAAGATGGCTTGTTTTCTCATGTAAGCAAGCATCTGCTTTCTCAGTTTCTTTTGAAAGGAGCTATATGTGCAGAATGTGTTTCTTACACACTGAAAATGTGCCAAGTACCAAATCTGTCTCAGACACCATTCATCCAAAGCTAACATACATGTTCTGTAGTAGTAAGCAAGATAGATGAAGGATTTGGACACCGATTTAGAGTGTTTATTTTAAAAGTTGGTGTTTCTGAGCTTAGACATAATGTTTTCATAGTCCCTATTTGAATAAGTCTCTTTCATTATCTAACTTCTTTTTTATCTTTTTAGTAAACAGATTTTGCTATTGAGTTTCAGTGCCTCATTCATGAAGCCAGTGTGGTCTGCAGTAGAGTTGGCACTTAGCAAACACCTTAAAGGGCTAAGGCCTTGAGAGCGATCTTTTAAAATTTTGAACCTGTTTTCTGTTTCCAAGAGAACTCCATTTATTTAAACTCTTCTTATGTTAGAATTTGTAATCTGTTTCTTAGAGCTGGTACAGAACCTCTCCTTTGGTGATTAAAAAGAGAGGATTAAACAAGAGAATTGATACTACAAAGAGATTCTGGGGTCAGTGTGAGATACGAATCTTGAGGCAGAAAACCTGGTTTTTAGTCTCGCGTCTCCTGTTGTCCAGCTGTTCCCGGTTTCTTCATCTCAGCATAACCCTGAATAAGCAGTTCTGTTGTGAGAATGAAAGATATTATGATATAGAAATACACTTTTAAAATTGTCATATGCTCTACAAATGTTGCTACATAGAACTGTTCTCAGACATCCTTATTCATTTCAGAAGTGCCCATTTCTGAGGAAACATACTAATTATAAATCATTGTATGCACATTTAATGCAAGAATATTTGTTGCTGCCAGTCATTGTGATGTGCCTGTAGTACCCATAATGTTGAAGTTCACAGTAAATGTTTTATTTAAACTTAAAAGAAGCCCAACTCGAAAGAAGCCCAACTCTGTTTTTTGAAAATATTCTGTAATTGAGGTTTTCCGATCACTAGACTTAGCTTATTCTGAACTTTGCCATGTTAGTGCATATCCAGTTACACTTGTCTGTTAAAAGAGGAAAATATTAGCATCATTCATGTCACCGTGCTGGGTCACCAAACATTTCTTGCTACACACACAAAGGTCGTGGTGTTTAAGGCACCAGAATCCAGCTTCAAGTGGTTTGACTTGTTTTGGGAAGTTTGATTCTTAGATAAATATAAAACCACCAGTATTATGTCTTCAGGGGTTTTATTTTTAAATCATTTCTGGTTAACTTTTTATTTTATGACTTTAAAGAATTAAAATGGCAAAATCAGACCAAAGTTATTTATAAAAGAAAAGAGAACTTCCTGGGAACTTGTCTGGTTTCTGATTCACCCAGCCAGCATGGTGTCTCATGCAGTCCTTTAGACAAACGCCGTAGCCAGAGAAAGGCACCGGTGTGCCAGAGGTCTGTGATCAAATACCAGTTAGAATCACTAGCTGACCTCATCTCAGCCAGATCCCCTGCACTCAAGAATGGCCCTTAGATGCCTTTCAGGGCAGCAGTCATTTGTATCCGTGGACACTGGGAAATAATACACTGCATGAACTCTGGAGAAATGCCTTTACCCCTCTGTACTTTGGTTTTTCCTTATCTTTTATCGTACCAAGTGGACTAGATGATTATCTGTGTTTCATCCAGCCTCAAGATAATACAAGTTGCTATTGAGTAACAAACCTAAATCCTCAAATTCTAAATTTTCAGTTTTCCCTGGGCCCAACCTTGGGATGTGACCAGAAGCCCCATTTTCTTTGTAGGTTTTTGCTTTTTAATAAAAAGAC